TTTGATGATAATACGATGGAAATCAATAACTCAGTTTACATTGCAACTCCAGGTCTAATGGAATTATTAACTAAGAAATCTCCAGATCTCACTAAAATTAAGAATGATGACACCCTAAATTATCGAGAAATCTTACTTTGTTCAGATGCACTGTATCAAAAATTTGATAAAAGTAGTAAAAGATATAATGCTGATCCAAGTGATAAATGGAAATTCATAAAAGATAATTATTTTGTTCCCAAAGGTCAAGCTACTGAAAGTAGTGTTCCCAAGAGTCAAAGTAGTTCAACAACTACAGGAAGTTCGATTAATCAAACAATAATTTCACCAATCCAAAGGATCTCGGAATCTGTGATTCTACCAAATCTGAAAGATTCAGAAAAGTACAACTTTTTACCTGAAGATATTAATGCTCTTATGGATTCATTAATATTATCAGTAGGTTCTTATCAAGCTGGTAATAATGGGGAATTCAACAAGATTCATGCTATTTTAGATGAATTAATTCGTAGAAAAAAAGATAAAAAAGAAAGATTTACCAAGTATTTATTTAGGTATCGGTCTCTAACCAAAAACATTTTTCAAATGGGTATTGGATTGTGAAGATCTTCAGGATTTTGGTTTTTCACTTCTCGAGGAAGTTTGCTGGCGTTGAATAATGTTATTCTCTTTAGTTGTTCCTTTTTTAACGTAAGCTCTTGAAACATTTGGAAAGTCTTCTGAAACACTAACTCTTTTAAACTTATCACTAAGTGTATCATCTATATCCAGATCATTGAGAAACTCTAGACATTCTCTATTTGTTAATGTTTTCTTATTCTTTAAAGTAAGAGAAAGATCAATTGAAGGTACTTCTACTATTTGTTCCTTTTGTTTCTCATTATACTTCTTTCTGAGTTCATTGTGTTCATCTCTCTCTTTTTGAAATTCTTTTTGTGTTTCTTTGAGTATCAATGATTTCTTTTTATTAGAAATTCCTAGACAATTGATAATGATTGATTTGCATTCACTTTTACATTCTGATGTTAAATGTTTGGTAAAAGCATATTTATAACTGTATTTATCACTTTGAGATAGCTTGGATTCATCAATGGTTGCGATCATTTTTTCTAAAGCATCCAAGTAATTTTGAGCTGTTTCTTTAGTGTATTCATTTTTAGTATATTCCAATATTTCTGAGAAATCAAGGTTCTTATTACCATCAATCTTTTGAATATCATTCACAAAGCTTTGTAATTTCAATTGACTGCAATTCACAGACACTTCAAGGAAGCTTGCTTTCGCTGAATCTTTTAGGAGATCCTTCCATTTATTTAATTAATTTTTTTCTCTTATTTTAATTAATAGTATCCATTACAATCCAATCGTATCCCTTACAATCCAATAGTATCCATTAGTATCAAATAGCATCCAATAGAATCAATTGAAATTTTTTTTAAAAATGTTTAAATGAGTAATAGAAAAAAATATGATGCCTGGAATGATTACAATCATAAAAAAACATTTATGTCAAGAAAAAGCAAATTCTGTAGAGAAATTGGGTGTAGCGTAGATTATCTAAATAAAACGATTAGAAAATTTGCAAACACTTCATTTGAAGGATGTGAAGGTAATCAGAGGATTGAGAAAACTAGAGATAATAAAGGTAGATTTCAAAATCAGAGATTTCTAGATCCGAAGGATTGTCAAAATATTGAATCCTTAAGTTCCATATGTGAATTCAAAGAAAAATCATAAAGAAGAAGTAATAGATAATTCAAAAATAAATTCAAAAATAAAAGTAATTGATATTTCCAAAAAGAATACAAAAAGAACACCAGAAGAACAAATTGCTTACATTCAGAAGAGTATAACTCAAAAATAAATAAAAATCAAAGATTTCTAGGATTCTTTAGAAGACATCAAATTTGGAAAAATTTCAAGGGTTTACTCTGTAAACACATACAAATCGAAGATTTCTTGGATTCTTTAGAAGATGTAAAAAAATATTTCAAGCACTTTCTGAATCTTCCGTCATCAATGTCTGAAGTCTTATCAATTGTTAAAAAAATTATACTTCTTTTTGGAATATTTCTCTAGTAAAGTCAAGAAATTCTTCCTTTTTAACTTCACTACAATGATCTCTGTAGATGTAATCTAAATTCATCTTATCTTGAGGAAATACTATGAAGAAGTTAGCATTCTCTCTAATTGTATTCTTTTGGAAGCTTTATATAATTTTTGAGAAATGTAAAAAAACAATCCACTCCGGAGTGTCTTCCTCGAGTATAATAGTGTTCTATTTTATTTTGTTTTTTTCTAATAAAAGATCATCAAAAAAATTATTAATGTCTTTTTTTATTGGGATCTAATGATGAAGGATCTGGAATATCTTGTAAAGAATCACTACTCACAACGTTTATTGTTGATTTTACATTTTCTTTTTCCTCAATTATAAAGTCTTGCTTTTCAAAACACCTCCTAATTTCCATTTTACTTAAACCTTCACTAAGTCCATTAATAAGTGCTTGATAACAAGGTTGAAATAAAGTACTAGAGAAAAATATAAAGATTATTATAATCAAGGTATTCTTCTCCTTTGTAAGCATCCAAAAGTAAATTCATTAGTAAGTTAGTCTTTCCACATCCACTCTTTCCAATAATACATCCTCTTATTGATTGAGGAAGCAAAGGATTATTGTTACGAAGTGGATAATAATTTTTAACTGAATAATCTGCAAATTCTTCTTTTTCAACCAATCCTTCGGATCTAGAAATCTCCGATTTTGACAATCCTTCGGATCTAGAAATCTTCGACTTTGAAATAGTCATTTTCTCAAGATTTCACAGTATTTAAAGTATTTGAAAAATTTTAAGATAAAAATAAATTATTTAAATAAAGAGAATGACAAGTCTCTTCTTAAATTTATATCGAACAAATGAAAAAGACATTTCAATTTCCACAAGATTTGAAAAATTACTAGTATTAGTGTTGTTCATATAGACGGAATATTAGATACTTCTAATACCAAAGAAATTAATTTCATTTATCTATCCTGTAATCTTATTTGTGATACTTTCATTGATGAACGACAAAGTAATATCATTTGCAAGTTTCCTTTAGATTCTAATGGAGAAGTAAAATATGAACCAATAAACCTTATATATCATCGAAGTGTTAATAATTGTAATACTTTGACATTAAAAATTAGTGGATGATAAAAAAATAACCTTATTGACTTCAATAAGTGTGATCTTCATATAGAATTACACGTAAAACAATAAAACGTAAAAATGGAATAATAAAAACTAAATTCTTTTAAAAAATCAAAGGATCTCCTTCGGATTCACCTGCTGAATTTAAAGATTCCTGCGTAAGCTAAAGCTTCCTAAAGAAGTGTTGGAAGAATCTTAGATCCTTTTGAATCCGGATCCTTCACTAGGTTTTCCTTTCTTTAATGCTCTAAGAAAGTCTGCATTCTTTTTATTCAACCTATTAGATCTAGAAGTCTTCGACTTTTGAGTAATACTTCCTCCTTCACTAAGTGAATGTCTTGCAGATCCTTCTCTCACTTTTTTATTTTCAATTATTTCAATTTTTTCTTGAGCTGGATTTTCAACTAGTTGTATTTTATCTTTCTCTTTTGGAGTTGCAATTAAATAGCTTGAAGAATTTCCAGAATCAAAGAATCTCATTGCAAATTTATTAAGTATAAAATATTTGAAGATAAAAAAAAGTTTTTAGTCAATCCTTTAGGATGCTATACAAGATAGCTTTGCTAACGCTAAGAAATATTCCATTTAGTCGATCCTTCAGATCTAGGAATCTTCGATTTAGTCTACAACAAGAGATCTTCTATGTTCATTTAAATCTTGCATTTCAACATCTTCGTGATTTTTTGTTCTCACAAAGATTGAATTTCTATTTCTATTTTTTCTTGAATTATTTGATGCTTCACTGACTTCAATTTAGATTTCTTAGATGATAAAGTAATCTTTCATGAGCATATTCTCCTTGATACAAAAAAACGAATATTGAGGAAGAATTAATTAATGAGATGCGTGAAAAAAAGCTGATGTATCCATTGATCTACACTCAAATAGTCAAGATGGAATGATTCCTCATGAAATATTAGATGAAGTTTCTAGCATCTTTGAGAAGTATTACATCAAGATATGGAGGATTTATGTAACTATTGGAGTTACTCTCTTCTATATATTTATAATTAGATCATTTTGGTTAATTCTTTTCTCCTAAGACTTTTTTTGAATCCAAAGGATCCGGAAATCAAGGATTTTTTTCACATCAAATAATTCAAGAAAAAAATAGAAATAGAAATTCAATCTTTGTGAGAACAAAAAATCACGAAGATGTTGAAATGCAAGATTTAAATGAACATAAGAGTATAAACGTCTTGTTCATTTAGAAATTCTTTGACTATTTTAATTGGTAACTTTGTTTTTCGTTGCATTTCATTGATACCACAAAAACCTGTTTTTGGGGAGTAATATGTTTGTTCTAAAAGAATTTTGGAATCCTTGGAATCCTTGGAATCCTTGGAATCTTTTATTCCTGAACCTCCTATCTTTGAACTAATGAATTTGCATTTCTTTGAGTTGCATTGGATACAGTCTCCTCTCAACATTTTTCTATTACTTTTCGTTTCACATTCTGTAATTTCTGATGTATCAGTGTGTTTTCGACATTTGAAACAATACAAGCTGGAAGCTCTAGGATTTGAAGAATCTGATACTTTATTCAATACTTCATTCATTTATTAAAAATGATAAAAGATAAAAAGAAATAGCAATTATTGTTAGTAACAGTAAACCAGTATAGTTATATTTTATAAATACCGGTAAAGCTATATTTTATTAATACCAGTATGGTAATATTTTATAATTACCAGTATTTAGTAATACCAATATGATACTAGTATGATAATAATTTAGTAATACTAGTATAGTTATAATTTATTAGTACTAACTCAATGCAACAACTTATACTTTGTTAACAATTATTAATAATACTCTCCTTCTTCTCGAAGTTTATCGGCTTCATCTCTTGCTTTAATCTTCCTGTCTCGCTCAGCTCGATGTAGTTTCATCAACTTTGTACGTTGTGTCTTCACAATATCCTTCTTCTGAAATCCAGAAGATTGATAAATTTAATTCAACAAATTCTCACCTTTTTTCTTTCTTGATGAGCTGCTTGTCTCTTCTCAATTAACATCTTCTCATTCTCATAGTAAGATCTTGCGAATGCAGCCTTCGCGGATGCTTTTGTTGCCTTATCTTCCAACATTTCTGCCTGATAAAAGAGATAATTAATTAACAGACTCTTAGAGGTAAGAAAAGATTACCAACCTTTCGTTTGAGTTGTTCCAGAGTAAGACTCTCGGAATCTTTGCGAAATTCTTCTCGTTGAGTATCGAGTTCTTCTATCTTCGAAACCTTCAGAGTCGTCTTAGGATCTTGAATCCTTCGGATGTCAGAATGTTCGGTTTCATCAACATCCATGGAAGTCGTGAGATTTCCACTCATTTGAAGAATAGGACTTGTCTGAAAAGATCAAATTTAAGATATGAAGACAATAGAACAACTTTGAAGCAAGTTATAAGCGATAATGAGATAATTTATGCAAGAAAACGAAGCAAAACTGAAGAAATTCTGCGACACGAATCGTTCTCAAATGAGACACTTCGCTCTCCTTCGCTTGGTAAAGATCCTCTTGTACCTGTTTTGCCAGCACCTTCGAGAAGGTTAGAGTGTCATTGCAGTGTGTGATGCAATTGCTTCTCGAACGCATTAAAGTGTGACCAAACTCGTCGCGTTCTAGATCTCACAGATTGACCACTCTCTCTCTCTCTCTTTCTCCTCCCCTTCTTTCCTTCACTAGGCATTTCAAGAAGCTTGCTTTCGCTGAATGTCTTTCAGATCCTTTGGTGTGACGTATAAAGGTCTGCAGTGTTCCCTTTCTCTTTGTGTGACCTTCTTTTCTCTTCCTCACTCTGACCAAGCACAATCACACATTTGCCCCAGTTGAACTAGACACACGCGACGCAACACGCAAACGCGTTGGGCTAGAGTGCTCGCATGCTGAGCAGGTGTCTCAACGGGTGTACCCGTATTAAACCCGTGTTTCTGAGGTTATTTTAGTCTCAGTTGGGCTAAAACGGGGGAACAACGGGTGTAAGAAAAATAGGTAACCCAGCTGGGCTAAAGCGGGGTCTCAGTTGGGCTAAAAAGTGCCAAAAGTTCTATCAGCTGGGCTTATACGGGTTTAATACGGGGGCACCCGCGGAGACCCCGTGTTAGCACGGCGGGGTTACCCTGCTCAGCATGCGAGTGGAAGGCAGAGACGCAGTGGAAAGCGAGAGACAGCCAGCATCGCATTCTTCCATTAACCTTTGTGAATAGAAAATAGACTTGCTTTTCTTCCGTAGTTTGCGTTGTGCATGATTTTACATCCATAGCTATCATTGTTTTTCTCGATAAGTTTTAGTTAAGGAAACCGGGAAGGCAAAAGGGATTTCTGTGTAAAAGCTAGAACCATCGGTGCTAATTTTGATAAATTTCAGTTGATTTTAATTAGAATTCTAGAAATTTGGATATGAAACATGCCAGAAATACTGGGAAAAGAAAAATCGTTTTCATTTTCTCCCGTTGTTTGTCCCCAAATTGTCGGGGTTCTTATTGTGAAACTTTGCTTTTTTGATGTCATAAAATTTGCGCTCTTTTACTTTTCTAACGCACGCACAGTATTGCGCCATTTAGAAGTAATAATCCTACTTGTCGTTGCGGTACAATCTAACTTTGTGCTAGTTTTTTTCCGGAATGGGCGCGTTTCCTTTCTTTCTACCTTTTCCTATCTTAAAGAGTATGTGTAAACAATTAATTCTTTGTTTTTTTTAGATCTCGAAATGGCCCAGCTTCGAATCAAAATGATGGACAAAAACGTTGTCGTGAAGTTACGAAGCAATGCCGTCACCAAAAGCACCATCAAAACCGTCTTTATGCTGGCCGATGATGCGCTCGTTACAATGGCTTATGAAGAAGGCGGGATCCCGATATTATGCGAGTAAGTTACATATTGAACTATTTATAATTATAAAAAAATATTTTATCTGATTTAATTTAAGTTTAATTATTTTTTTGATTGTATTTCAATTTTTTAGGGTGGATGATACTGGAAAAACGTTTTTGCTTCCTGATGGATGGGAATCTATGGAGTTTCATGTTGAATCGAACCAAGTGCCCTCAAGACCAGCAACGCCGATGGATATCTGTGAGTTTAACATCATATAATCTTTTTTTATTATTATATTTTTAGGTCAGAGCACCGCTTCGGTTTATGTTCCTATCGGTATGCACTTTTTAATGATTTTTATTGAGTTCGATAAGAACCTAATATTTAAAGTACTTTAACGTTATGTTATTTTCAGAAACTGATGCTCTTGTTCATCAACTGGAAAAAGTATTTGTTTTTACGAGAAAGGCGATACTAAGGCTTGCTTCACTGTAATTTCAATTCATCATGCAGTCAGCTTCAATCATGGACCTCACCAGAATTGGAATTCAAATTCAGTTGAGGTATGTTTTTAGTATCTACAATTATAATCTAAAACACTCGTTTTTGTTTAGAATCGAACGGCGGTGACCATTTGCAGTCAAGCAGGACAAGAATTTCAAACACAACTGGTTGCGTGTAATTCTGATATGGATTTTGTTGTGGTGGTTTCCGAGGTTCCGCTTGTTCCTGTGCCGCCAACGATTTCTTACCCGCGCAAATTGGAACGATACATTCTTATGGTAATTTTTTATCTTTGAAACAGTTTCATAATTTGCCTTTCTTTTGTAGGGTTATCCCAATGTCAACTCGAGTTATGAGGCACTTGAAGGGATCTTTTCATCTGTTCAACTCGATAATAAAGGCCGCGTGCGTGGTTCAAGTGGAAGTCAGAGAGGATACAGCGGTGGACCTATCTTCAACTACAAAGGCGAGCTGCTTGGCATCAATGTTGCAAATGAATCTTCAACGAAATTTATTGGACTAAGCAGTCGAAGCACGATAGGCGAGCTTTTCAATGAGATTAATGCTGCTTTTTCGTCTCTTTCAGTCATTGTACCAGTCTACTATTTAGCTATGGGAATTCACGAAAATCTCAATTTTCAGCAATAAATTGTTGACCGATTGTCTATGAATAAATTTTGTTCTTCTGTACTGTGTTTTTATGGCTTTTAGATATTTTGAGTTAAAAATAAACACATGAAAGATGAAGATTTCACAACTTTAATGAAAATTTGTGAAGAAAAGAAACTAATAAAAGTTAGAGATTCATTAGAATGGTATAATAACTTAGATGTACAAAGAAGAAATGTTGACAACTCGCTGACTGATTTTTTATCTTTTGCGTAAGCAAGCTTTCTAGAAGTACATCCGTTCAAATACTCTTGAAGTTGTAAAGGAGGATCTAATCCGAAGGAATCAAAATAATAAATCTTTCCTTTATTTTTAGAATAACAAACCCAATGAGCACCTTTACCTTCAGAAGAATCCAGATTGACAATGCCTACTTCTTTTTCTTTAATCTTAGAAGGTAAAGTATCTCTCATAAAGATTCCTCTGAAGTTTCTTATCTTTAATAATTTTACAAGTTCTTCAAGATCATAATTTGTCAGAGGTTTAAGATTTTTTGAAAAGATCATTTATTTAGCATTATTTTTATTCACCGTTCTAGCGCATTTTTCTCGACCATCTCGACCACTGGATTTCGACCATATTTTTTTATAACGCACTTTTCGACCATTTCCCCATTTTTTTGAAATTTGCTGAAAAATGACACATTTTTTTGATGACCGAAGGTTAGAAATCAATGAAAAATAAGCCTTAAAATGGTTTAAAAATGTGTAAAAAAATTGAAGGTGGTCGAAAAAGCTGCGGTAGAACGGCAAAAATACATATTATTTACTGAAATCCTAGAAAACAAGAAAAAAATAATGAGATCTTGTATAAGTATCTTCCTGTTCGTCCAATTTCGTAAAGGAGTTCGAATTCCGTTTTTGAAAGTTGCATAAAAAAATCCTTAATTTTGAAGCGAAGATGTCATCAGACTTTGATAAAAAAATTAATATTAATTGATAAAAAAATTAATAAAAAAATTTGAAAAAAATTAAAAATAATTCTCATTTTTTTTCGATCCTAAAAAAATTTATTCGAAACTCCATGAAAATCACTAATTTTGTAGCAATTCAAACTTCAATAAAAAAAGCGTCAAATTCTCAGTAAATCTAGAGTGAGCCCTATAGGGCCAGGACCCTTGGAGTATCCCCTCTAGGGACCACTATACCTCACCCTATAGGGACCACTAAAACTTGCAAAGGTGTTTTTCATGCGAAAAAAACTCAACAAATCGACGTAATTTTTTTCCCATTTTTTTGATTAATTAAAAACAAACCCCGAGCTTTCTAGAGCAGCGATAGCATCGATATGACCAATAGAATTCCGGATATGATCGGCTATAGCTATACAAAGTTCATTGACAAGGACTGGGTCCGCGAAAAGCGGCATCACGTCTCTGAATATTCGAAGTTTAGCGAAAAAAAAAACTGAAAAATTAATATTTTTAAAAAATTTTCGGCAATTTATAGCATATTTCACCCCAACTTGTCACTTTTTTCTTTTTTCAAAACACGGCAAAAACTCAAAGCACGGGTCTTGAAAGGAAGCGCGCAAAAAAGCTCCGTATACTGTAGTTTTCCTTTTTTCTACTTTCGTTTTGAAAACGTGATATGTTCACACGAACTTCAGAACTCAAGAGTCGAGTAATTCCTCAAGCCCCGCCCCTAATAAACTCGGGGCTCATTTGCGGCTGCTGGGCGGCGATCGCCTTCCACTTGTCGAAATCGACCTTGGTCTCCTCCAGGACGTCCTTGATCTTCTCGTCAAGATCCACGATGGATTGCTCGAGGAGTTGGGCGTTCTGACGGAGGGAGTTGGGCAGGATCCGGACCACCTAAAGGGGAGAATTTGGATCGGAAATTTTCTCTTTCATTTATCATAGGAACGAGCTTATTCCTGAGGAGACTAGGTGCACTTTTTTCGAATTAATCGAAGTTGAGCTTAAAATTGCCTGAAGGATCTTTGGAAGGATTTAAAAAAGGGAAAGAAGTCAAGGCTTCTTCTAATTTACAATGGCTGTAAATCGTGACCGTGCCTCTGGAGGGAATGACCTCAAACAGCGATGTGCGAGCGAGAAAAAAACCAAACGCAAATCTAATAATAGTTTGTGTGTTTATAATCCTATTTCAGCTGTTTTTTGGTCTTTGAAATATTTTTAAATTCCGAATTCACAGCGTTCTAAAGCGGGGTTCCCGCCCCTTTTCTGAAAAGCATGCGGACGCTGCATGAGTGGGCGTGGCTAACAATCGTCTTTTTCGCGTCGTAGTTAAGAGTCCGGATTTTTTGATTATTTGAAGGCTAGCATTTTTTTTTTCCTGACATTTATAGTTTCCAAATGTTGCTAGTCATTTCCTATAACTCTCTTAAAATTTCGCAGTTTATTTTCTTGTGGTTTGATTGGTTCAAAGGACTACATAATTGTTCTGTTCACGAAAGTCGAAATTTTTAATGCCGTGTTCAAAGTAATTTCCGCGAAATTCAAAATGACTCTCCAAAATTTAGTGATCTTTTCCTTTCTCTAACGGGTATTTTGAATTTCGCGGAAATTACTTTGAACACGGCATAACTCAGGTTTGATTTTGTATTCTTTTTTTTTCCTGTTTAAGTAATTGAAAACTGATAATGTGATCGATTCCTGGAGTTGAAATTTCGATTTTGGGTTTTGTCTCTTAGGTACAGACCAATTACACCTTTTTTTTAATTTTTCGTCAAGTCGAAATTTTTCTCTTTTGCGCGGACACTGACAGCTTTTTTTTTCTTGTTTATTAGTTGGAAACTGATATTTTGATCGATTCTTGGAGTTTGAATTTCGATTTTCGGTACTGGATACAGTATTTTCTTTTATAAACAACGTTTCGACACATTAACGAGCTATGGACACTTTAAAAAAACTTTCTAATACGTTTAAAAAAATTAATTAAAAAAATTTACGTGCATAGAAACAAAAAAATTAATTACGCTTTCTATAATCATTTTTCTGTTGAAATTACGGCGAACAAAAAAACGAAAAAAATATTTTTTTAATTTTAGTTTCACTTTCTCTCAGTCTATTCTTTTTCTTTCTGGAAAAAAATTCATAGTTTGTTTTCAAATTTCATTATAAATAAATTTATTTCTTCACAGCTAATTTTGAAGACGAAATGAAGTGCGAAAAAAATCGTTATTCGAAATCTAATATTCTCTTTTTTTCGAAATACGCAAACTGTAGCCTTTCTAGCCGTCTGCGTCTCCGCGGCAAGAGTGTCTCTCTCTTTCTCGAATTTTTCTATATAGCTGTCTGCGTCTTCGCACCGAGAGAATTATTTTTTTATTTGAAAAATATTATTTCATTCATTCATTTTTTTCTTCTTCTACATTTTATGTTCAGTTCAAATTTTTCAAACGGTTTTAAACTTTAGTCGATAAATCTCTGAATTATAAGACTTTCTTTTCGATTTACTAATGGTCTTTTTTGTAAGAAAAGTGAAAGGTTTTTTTGGCTCACTTTTTTTATTTTTTTGATGTTAAAGTCCTACTTTTCGAAATAATACAATTCGAATGGTATATTCCGACGTTACCAACATGTTTGATTTTCAGCATAAAAGTATAACCATTCGATCCGTCTCGTCGAGATACGTACGAATATCATAAAATTATTTGGCGCTGACCGCTTAGAAAAATTTAAGATGAACTTTATTTGTTTTCAATCAAGTAATTATTTTGAGGAATTGAAGTGTTTGCTTTTTTTTTCATGTATTACCTAAGAAAATAGGCTTAGTTTTAAGGCTTCACACGGAGGCGGAGCGCGCATAGCGCCAAGTCGACTGTGGCTCGCTACGAAAAAACTGAGCCACAGTGAACAATTCGTCAAATAAATGGAATACTTGACATAAAAATCATGTAGTTTCAAAACGTGGACACTAATAACACTATCAGGTAGCTCTAAACGATTTGCTAACTTGATACGCGTAGCGAAAAAATCTGTAAAATGTATTTCCCAAAAAAAAAGAAAGAAAAAATATTAATGCCGTGTTCAATTTGATTCCGCGAAATGCAAAATGATCTCTGACTCTCCAAAATTTAGTGATCTTTTCCTTTCTCTAACGGTATTTTGCATTTCGCAGAATCAAATTGAACACGGCATGAAGGAGCATACTGTGCGTAAACGTGGGCTTCGACGCGGTCGGTTATTTTTACTGTGATTTCTCATTTTTTTTTTTTCTTTTTTGAATTGTTTTTTTCGAATAATTTTCAAATTTTTTCATATTTTAAAAGAATTTTTCTTCTCATGGCGTAGTAACGATAGTTGAATTGAATCAGCGTCGAAAAATGCAGCAAAAATTTCGAAATTTTTAGAGTTTTTTCTGGTTTTTGCACACCATAAGATTATTTCTTCTTACCAGCGCCAAATAATTTAATGATATTCGTACGTATCTCAATGAGACGGATCGAATGGTTATACTTTCATGCTGAAAATCAAACATGTTGGTAACGTCGGATTATTCCATTCGAATTTCTGGATTCCGATCATCTCAAATATATGAAAAAAACCTAAAAAAATATTTTTTTGGACTTAAGCAAATTTTTTTATTCATTTCTTTTGTTTCATTGTTTCATACCACGAACGCCACTTTTTTTCCAAGTTGCCATACAGAATTCGTTTTTTCGATCCAGATTTTTTTCGTTTTCTTTTTTTTCAAAAATCGTTTGAAAAAATTTAAGTCGAAAAACTAGACGTATCTCTAATTTTTTGAAATCTTTTTTTTTCTTGACATAGTTTTCTTGCATTGTTCTGAGCTTCTTAGTGACTTCATCAAAATTGAACCTGAGCTCTCAAAATCTATTTTTTCTGAAAAGATATTTTTTGAAATTTAGTGGACTACTGCAAAAATATACGGATCTAATTTTTCAATTTGGGCTCATATAAAATTTAAAAACCGAGAAAAACTTTTTCAATGAATTTTAGGTAATTGTGGCTGTTTTAAAGAATTTTGAAATTAGAGTACCTTCTCACTTTTTTTGATAGTTCTTTTCTCGTTTCTAATCCCATTTAATAATATAATTTATTTACAGGCAAAACGAAATAACATGTACAAAAAAAGAATGGAAGATTGGCATAAAAGCCTGAAATAAATAGATAAAAGGCACTTGAGGCCCTCACGAGCCTCTGAGCCAGTATTGAAAGATGATATGGTCAGAATAAGAATCGAGGATTGTACAGAGTTTTAAAGAAAAAGTAAATAGAAAAGAAAGCATTATAAATTATGACACAGTGTAGCACAGGTAAATGGGGAATTTAATTGGTTGTAATGATATAAACACGATTAGATGGATTAAAGTAGGGCTGAAGCACGGGTGCCTGGTTCAACGGAGTCTGCTGGGAATAGATCCAAAAAGGAAATTGTTATCGAGGGATAGTAATTATTCGCTCTTGAGCGAGTCACCCATTATTCGCTCTTGAGCGAGTCACTTTGATTTTTGGTCTCCGAGCAATGATCAGTAATGGGCGTGTCGCGTCAGCAGACTCAGGCACTGACGGCGCGTGTTCGTTGCCAAAAGTGCGCATGCGCGCCGCCTGCTGCGCGCACGCGCGGGGTGTCTCCTTTGTTTTTTAGCTTTTTAACTAATTGAAAAGTTATAAATTTAATATTTTTCATGTCTGTTCATCTCTTAACATTGCTCTGCACCAGTTTATAACAATTAGATTGCACAAAAATGTGAAATATCAAAGTTTCACTTGGCAACTTTTTTTCATAAATTTGTTCGAAAGTGCTCGGAACAACTTTAAAACGTGAGCAGGGGCACTGGGTAATATCAAAAAAACATAAAAAATATATTTCAACACCTTATTTCAGTGGAAAAGGCGAAAAAAGAATCAGTACCCCCGCGCGTGCGCGCAACAGTGCCTGAGGACAGAGTGCTCCACAGTGTTCCAAAAGAGACGGCGGCAAGCGAAAAAAAAGGTCGTCGCAATGGGGCGAAAACGCGAGTTTTTTCTAACGCAACGCGGTGCGGCGCGTGTCGCCCCCACAAAATTTCATTCACTTTTAATACGGTTTTTTCTCTTTTTCTTGAGTATTTTACCATTCTTTCGTAGTTTTTCACATTGTATGTGTTCTTAAAACGTGTTTATCGCGTTTTCCAGAAATTTGAAGTGATTTTCGATTGTTCTCGTCACAGAAATTTGCATTAAAATGACCTTTTTGATGACAACTTATTTCGTATAAGATATTTCGTTTATTTTTTTGTTCTAGAATTTTCAAGTGGACTTTCTTAAGAGAAACGCTGTGAGATTTTTCTCAAAATTTTTTTTTTCGAGGTAGTATTCGACGAATTTATTCTTGAAAATGTCATTTTGGGTGACAACTTTATTCGCACAAGCTATTTTGTATCTGTTTTTTTGTTTTGAAACGTTCAAATGGTATTTCTTAAGAGAAGTGCATTGTGCTTTTTCTCACTTTTCCCTTTGGAAGTTCGATTTGACGAGTTTTCCTAAAAAACGACATTTTGGGAGATATTTTGATTTGCCTAAACTTTTTCGTCTCTTTTTTAATTTAAATTTGTTCGCTATAATTATATACGCATTAAAAATCTTTGAAAACTTGCGAGAACCTAGGAAAAACATCATTTAATGGTCTTTTTCCAACCACTAAATCCACAAAACTTCCCGCGCCCCTATTGCAATAAACCGTGCCGCTGTTGCAGTCAGCCACGCCTACTGGCCACAGCTGCCGCCCGTTTGGGAACACTGTGGGCAAGTTTCTTCAGCTGTCTCGGGCAAAGTCGAAATGGTGGATAATGGCCGCTAAAAGGGAGAGGCACAAAAAAGGCCGCAGAAAGCCAGCAAAAAGGCAGCGAAAGGAACCAAAGAGACTCCCTTCATCGAGCCTTCCATATTTCTGGGTTTTTAAAGGCTCGAGAAATTGTGGAGAAAAGGAGAGGCAGCAAAAAGAGAGCCTTCATCACCCTAAAAGGAACATTTCTATGGTCCTCTATGGACCTTCGGCGGGTCCTTCCGACTTTGCCTATGGTGGGAAGTCTGCGCATTCGGTATTTTTTTTTAACTTGTAATGCTATTTTGAATGCAATTTTTCTTGCATTGCACGGAAGTAGAATCGAAAAACGCGGAATTCCGTGCATCTCTGGTGTGGAAGGACGGTCGTCTTCCATCTTTTTCCCTGTTTTTCGACTAGTTCCTCTTCTTTGTTTGTTTCACAGTTTTAAATATTTTCTCTGTAATAAAAACAGTCCGAAATCAAAAAAACTTCTACTTTGAAACTTTAAGAATTCCGTTTTTTGTGCTCTTCTTTGTTTTAAACTTCAAAAAATCAGGAAAAATTTTTAATGATTTCGGAACTCAAAAAATGACAATTTTTCATTTTGTCCATTTTTTTTGTTTCTCGAATCTTTCTTCTCGAAAATTTTTGCGTCTTCGAAATCTCTTTTTTGTCGATTTGCGCTGCCTATTCAAAATTTTTTCGCATTCCATTTCAAAGCTTTTCTATGCTTTTTCTCTTAAACTCGATCAATCTGGAACTTTTTCTCGTCGTTCGCTGGGAATATTCAAGCTAGTGCGGATAGCGAATAAGGCTTTTTAACTAGGGAACTATGCGAATTCGTATTTGCGGATTGAGTTTAAACTTTACTGGTTTATATAGTCTGTTCAGATTTTTAATGTCAAGCAGCTAACTCCACCCCCATGGCTTCAATATCTTCCGCGTCAATTTTTTATCTACAGATGACGATGTCCCTTTAATAAGGCTGCATTTTTGACTTCTTTTTCAATCTTTTAGATCAAAAAAGATCAAAATTAGTCCCGCGCGATAAAACATCGACGCGAAAAGGTACCTTCTCAGCGGGGGCGGAGTTCGCTGGTTGACATTTAAAATCTGACCAGGGAACGTTTTTTACCCCCCGGCTGAACTTGTGCTGAAACTTTGCTGAAGTGTACTTTAGGACCCCCTGATTGCAGATCAAGAAGAAGATTTCTCGCAATAGGTCTTGTTTCCGAGTTATGGAGCTTCAAAGTGTGCAAAATACGCAAATTAGGCCAAAAAGCGCTATTTCGGGCTTTTGAAGTGTCCTAACTCGAAAACGAGATCTATTGCGAGAAATTTTCTTTTTGTTCTGGAATCAGGGGGTCCTAAAGTACACTTCGGCAAAGTTTCAGTAAAAGTTCAACCGGGGGGTAAAAAACGTTCCCTAGTGAACAGACTATAGACCAAAGTCGAAATAGACGCAAGACACGAAAATCGAAACCTCCTGCAAAGATTTTCGAACACTGAAATTGGAAACGTAATTAGATCGATTAGAACATTTATTTCGATGAAATTCAGGAGAATTTTTTAAAATGTTTCATGAGAAAAAAGAATATACTCGAAGTAGGATATTTCAATTCTCGTAGGAAAGAGATTTTTCGCAGTTTCAAGTTTTTTTCCGGCGATATCAAACTCGGAACAAAACATTTGAAAGGCTCGTCAGAGGGAGATCCCTGGCGCCTCCGACCTTCGGCGCGAAAAAGTCCGTTGGAGGCTGTGGCGCACCGTCGACCATTCAAACGGTACCCTCTGCAAAGTCGTCATTTGTGCTCCTGTCCTTTTTCTTGCTATGTTCCTAATACACATTGTGACTTTCTTTTGAAAATCCGCTTTCGTTTTCTTTTTCTCCTTCTTTTCGTTTTTTTTTCCCATGGACGTTCGCCTTAGGTTAAAGCAGGACTGCCTATTACTGCTAACCCTTCTCGAAAATTTCAGTAAATAAGCATTAAAGTCTACATTTTCAGAGAACTATCATGCCGGTGAACATAAAAGACGTCAGAAATCTGTTTAAGCAGATTGACAAAAAAGAAGAAGAAGTAAAGGAAATTCGAGACCAGATGTCAACGCTCCAAAAACGTCTCGACGCCTACTCTGCGAAGTTGGCAACTTTGGAAGAAGTTCTTGCTAAGGTCAATGGAATCATTAACAAACTATTCGAAGTGAGTTCAAGTTTAGAGTTTTTGTCTTCTTTCTGTGATCTATCAGAAAACAAAAAATAGTCTTTAATCTGCAAGCAATTTTTTTCTGATTTCAGAATGAAAGTATCGCCGAGGAACTTTCGCGTTTGATTAAAAAGTTCAACATTGAGAAGGAAGGGGAAAACATTCAGGCCGAAGCAAAAAATTGTCCAGGCAAGGTCAGAAGGAACAGGCAGGTACAAAAGGTTTGAAAAATGAGTAACTTTCGAAGAATCAAAAACACCATGAAATTAAAAATGATGTTGAATGTGGTGACTTTTCCATTTCAATGGACTAATGATTGACTTGAACTAAAGTTTGAATCAAATAATCAAATTTGAGATTTTTTTCCTCTTATTTAAATTTTTTTAAAGATTAACGACCATACTAAGAGGCGAGAACAGAAGCCTCATCAGACTGAAAAGGTTCAAAAAAATTAAACGTGAATGATTGTTAATTGATCGTTAACACAGTTCGAACATTGATCCAAAAAAAAAAATGACGAACATCGTTTAGAAAGTCCAAATGAGATGTGTAGAAGATTCCCACTTGATAAAAAAAAACTTAAACTATCGGAGACCTCAATAGCCTAACTTTGAAAATGAAGATCTAGCAAACTTTCTGTTTCTAGTTGAAGCAGAAGAACATGGGGAAAAATCTCCTTCACGGCGTTTCTGCCAGTTGAAGAAAATGCAAGGAATTTGAAACTCGGCAAAGTCTGCGCACTTCTCGAAATTCGCCCGCGAAATTTGAAAAAGTGGCTTTATTTTTGATTTTTTGTCAATTTTTTCATATTTTTTCACTTTTTCTTTTCGTAGATTGCTGATAGTATTGCGGGACCACGATCGGGGTATACTCTGGGTTGTTAGACGTTTTTTTGAAAGTAGTTCTGTGAGGCTAACTTTAAAAACTCGTGATGAAGAAGCGTTTTGAAAAATCTCCACCTGTTTGTATGGAACATGTTTCACCCCATTTTATGTTTTTCTTATTCTATTTTTTTGTCGATTGTTCAGATTCCTAGGTTGTGGACATCAATGAGATGAAGTTACATGAAAAAAAGTCTGTGAAGTTGAGAAAGTATGTTCCGGAATTCATTTATATCCGGATATCCCGTCAACTTTTTATAATAAAAAAAGTACTTGCTGTAAAAACATCTTTTATTTGTTTTTTTCCACAGCAATATAGTTTTATTTAATCTCTTTTTAATTTCCTCGTCTTTTTTTCTTCAATGTTCATTCGTTTCTCACACTTATATCATCGGTTAACCTTATTTTCCAAATTTTTTGTGCATGCACTAAACACGTCCTAATTGACGGAGAAAAGCGGGCGGGGCGTCGCAAAAGAAACACCGTGCCTTAGGACGGAAAGAAGAAATCGTTGACCCTAGTTGAACCAGAAAAGGTGCAGAAAAAGGACGGAAATAAATCAGAGGTAAAAAGAAAGAAAATTACTAAGAAACATTGTGTCAACGTTGACCCCATAGAAAGATCTCTTTGTACTAAAACTAACAAAAACTAAACTTTTTTTTGCCTTCGTTAACTTACGAATTCAGGGATCATTTCTTGTTTCGGAAAAATTACTTCGGGTTTTCAGATGTAACCCAAAATAGTTTACTTTGTTCACTATTACTTCTTCCAAAAATGACCATTCAAACGCACGGCGTTTTTTTTTATTACGCAAGGTCAAGACTTCTCGTAAATTATGATGCTTAGGGTGTAAGCACACCGAGATGCACTACCGCATACTCAAAACTGTTTTTCAATTTCAGAATTTGCAATTTTAGGATAATAACTTCTGAAATGCTCGAAATATTGTCAGTTTGAAGAATATGATGTGAAAAAAACATTCACTTACGTTAAAAAAATTAGGAACGATTTCGGAAGGGGAAAAACTTTAAATTACTGATTACAAAAATAAAAAAACAAAAAAATATTAGGAAGGTGAATCAGCTCCCATTGAATAAGCAATTGTAAATACGAAAAAAATATTGAAATGAGGAAAAAAATCGAGGAGCAAATAAAAAAAGAAACATTTCATATACCTTGAAAACCTAGCTTCAGAAAAAAACAAATGATGGATAGAAAGCAGAAATTTCAGAAAAAAAAGCCCTGTATGGCGAAATGTTTATTTATATACGAAACACCATCAAAAAAACTAGAAAAAATATAATTTAGATGATTCATATAACAAAAATCATCAAACTGCATCAGCAAATTAAATTTGGCTCTAATTTGCACGAAACTGGTTTCAAACTACGCCAAAGAAACTGGATAATAACTTGTACTTAAAGAAAAAAACGTTAAAAAGAAGTATTAATAAAGAAAAAAACGCAAAAAAATATGCTTTTTTTTCAATTAACTCTTTCCGTAAGTCTTGCGAGAGCTTAAAAAGGGTGGGTCTTGTAATCCAAAAACGGGTCCTGAACAGATCGAAACCACTGTAGCCGTACGATTTAGAAGGGCCCGCCCCTGGTATTTTTTTTCTGCATTTTCTTTCACTGATAAGAACGCCGGATTTTTTTAAAACAAGCTAAACTGATAATAGATTTCTATCCAATTAAAATTCCCGAGTTGCAGAATGACTCGGGCCGCAAATCGGGTTGGTTCGCACACGACATCAATGCTGACGGCGAAGAAGTGACTGGCGACCTTTGGTAAATAAGCGCGGCTGCCGGTCCGGATCTGTCCACGTCTCCATTTCTTTTCCTTGGGTTTTCTCGAGCCGCTCAACCACTCATCTTCCCAATATCTTAATTTACATCTTCCATTTGTTCTCTCTACAATTTATACGCGTTTATTGTTTTTTTTTCTCCCACTGGAATCTTGTCCAGCGTTATAACTTCTTCTTGTCTTTGATCCCCTTTTCAGCAACAATTTCTTTTCCTTTTATGAATTCTGATATAAAAGCTGTCCAAGTGTTTAAATTTTCTTTTCTTTTCTTTTCCAATACTTACACACTGTTACCAATCTTTGTCAACTTTTTTAAACTCATAAGATACTTTCTTTTTTTCTTTCTCCCCGATTCACACTTTCAATTTTGATGGTTTATTTGTTTTTTTACGGGCGATAACATTAACTTCCGTATCTATTCGTGCGCCTTTTCTCAATTCTCTTTTTTGTTACAAAATGTATTGCAGAGTCATTATGTACTTTTTCTTTACCGCCAAAATCCCTTTCTTAATTTGCTCATCTGGCCATTTTCCACCTTTTTTTTCACCTTCATGAATATTCAAGAAAAATAAAAATTTTCAAACTGCAAAACTGTTTTTGGTTACTTAAAAAAACTCTGAATTGCTCGAATTGATATTAAAAAAATACTCATTGATAAATGGAGAAAAAAATTGATGCAAAAAAATGTTCATCTATTTTTGAATCAAATAAAATTTAAAAACCGAAAAAAAGTTGAAAAAGCAATGAGTTTTTTTCTACCAAAAAGTTACCGTATGCTGATTTCGCTTCGAGACCTGTAGTATAACGGTTTTTTGAAGCTGTCTCTTTTTTGAGTGGTCCCTTCAAGGTTTTTTTAAATACCGACAAACTTTTTTTAACAACCAATAAGACATCCAGAAAGTTCATAAATAATATAAATAATCTAATTATTTATTTTTTTTTTCTCAACAATCAAGCTTCATCATAGGAAATCAATGAGACCAAATCGACTTCTGGGAATTTTTCTCGTCCCTTCAACGGCGCCAGTTTGATGAGTACAAAGGCTTGGGATACTGTAGCTCCACTCTTCGCGATTAAATCGATTGCTGCCTGGAAATCGACAAAATGAGACAAATTTGAAGATTTAAAGGAAACCCGGAGTGTTCCACCAGTCGCCAGGAGATCATCAATCAGGAAAACTTTGTCCCCGGATTTCAAGGCGTCGTGTTGAATTTCGACAATGTCCTGGAAGTCTTTTTTTTATTGTTCAGAGACGAATTTTCTCAGTAGAAAAAGTAAAGGTATCTTCAAATGCAGACCATTTTCCACATAAATTTCAAAACAAATCGTAGAAAAATTGTTCAAAAAGCTCAAAATGAGTATAGAAAACCATTTCATTGACAAAAAGTGGGCAAATTTCAGTATTTTGAACATTAATCAAGCCAAAAATAAAGAAAAATAGGTTAAAATTAACAAATTGTCATTGTTTCTGTCCACTCAAAACTAACTCCTTGAAGAAAAATGGATAAACTTCGAAAATTAAAGCTTTTTTCACGCCAAAAATCAGTCAAGAGTAATTCAAATTCTCATTTTTCAACTTTTCTTCCATTTCGAAACGAATTCCTTGAAGAAAACTGGATAAAATTTGAAAATTAAGATTTTATTCACGCGAAAATGAGTAAAGATTGGTTCAATTTCACGTTTTCTCACTTTTCTTTCATTTGAAAAACTATTTCCTTGAAGAAAAATAGACAAACTCCCAATTATTCAACTTTAATAAAGTTTAAATCATTGAGAATCTTAATTTAAAGCAGCTAGACCCATTCCAAATGCGACCAAAATAAGTCTAAAATTTTAAAAAATGGATTTGCATCATGTAACATGATGGAAAAGCTTCAAAATGAAAATATTCAGGATTTCCCATTTTCCCCCCTTTCTTAGGAGCGCTAAAGTGATCCCTCTAGGGGCAACCTTAAGGGTCCGCTTTACCTGCCCCTATAGGGGACACTGAAGCTTGAAAAGGTGGGGGAGCATTCTGGCGGTCCCTATACGTCCTTTTTATTTCAGATCTGAACAAAAAGCTAAGATAGCCCTATAGGGACCACTTGAGCTTTAAGGTCTTAGGGGTCAGGTAAAAAACTCTATGAATACCATCTAAATTTTACCCCTATAGGGAAACCTTATTTGTCCCCTATAGTGACTGTTCTTTCCCTAACCCCTAAAAGGACCACTCTGGCGTTACGGAGTATTTTCAGACTCCATGAGTTTGCCCAGAACATGAATCACAAGTTTGAGTCATCAAAAAAGCCGACCTCTCCGTACTCCTTGATGTAGGAGGCTTGTAGAGTCTGACCGGGCAATTTTCCCTTTTTCCTGATCGGGACAAACCGGACTCCCAAGTGGATCGCGACTTGGGGTCCGAAAAGAAAACCTGAACTTTGAAATGAGTGAAAATATTCGGGGAAAGTCGGGATGGTCGCCGCTAAAAGAAAAAAGCTCAAAAAAGGCCGCAAAAAGGCTCAAAAAAAGCTCAAAAAAGGCTCAAAAAAGGTAGCAAAAAGGCAGCAAAATGGCCGCAAAAAGGCTCAAAAAAGGCTCAAGAAAGGTATCAAAAAGGGTCCCTTTATCGAGCCTTCCATTTTTCTAGGATTTTGAAGGCTCAAGAAATGGTGGAAAAAGGGAGAGGCTGCAAAAATTGTGCATAAGGGCCCAGAAAATGGCCCAAAAAGGCAGCAAAAGGGGAACATTTCTATGGACCCTTTTTCCACTTTTTGCGTATTTTCCTATGTTAAACGAATCTTCTGAAATTCTGGAAAATAAGATCTTAGTATAAGTATCTTCCTGTTCGTCCAATTTCGTGAAGGAGTTTAAATTCCGTTTTTTTTTTTGATTTTTCTTTCAAAGTTGCATGAAAATCCTTAATTTTGACGCGAAGATGTCATCAGACTTTGATAAAAAATAAAATAAAACGATTTTCTAATTTTTTCAATTTTATTTTCGATTTTTTCCACAAATTTTGTAGCAAAGGTTGATTCAAACTTTAATAAAAAATCGTTAAATTCTCAGTAAATCTAGAGTGGGCCCCATAGGGGCAGGGACCCTTGGAGTATCCCCTCTAGGGACCACTATACCTCACCCTATAGGGACCACTAAAACTTGCAAAGGTGTTTTCATGCGAAAAACTCAACAAATCGACGTAATTTTTCCCATTTTTTTGATTAATTAAAAAAAAAAACAAACCCCGAGCTTCTAGAGCAGCGATAGCATCGATATGACCAATAGAATTCCGGATATGATCGGCTATAGCTATACAAAGTTCATTGACAAGGACTGGGTCCGCGAAAAGCGGCATTATGTCTCTGAATATTCAGAAATTAGTCGAAAAATTCAATATTTTGAAAAAAAGCAATTTATAGCATATTTCACCCCAACTTGTCATGTTTTTCTTTTTCAAAACACCGTAAAAATTCAAAGCGCGGGTCTTGAAGCGAAGCGAGCAAAAAACCTACGTATACTGTAGTTTTTCCTGTTTTTCTACTTCACAAAACGTGATAAGTTCGCAAAGACTTCGAAACTCCAATGTCAATTTATTCCTTAAGCTCCGCCCCTAATAATGCGACTAGCCAATCAGAGAGCGGGCACTTCAGGAAGGAATATCAAACATTACGATTGATTTTCAAAATCTGAATGGAATATACCAGGAAATTCTGATTTTTTTTTAAACTCGGGCAAAGTCGGAATGGTTAATAAAGGCGTCTAAAAGGGAAAGGCTCAAAAAAGACAGCAAAAAGGCTGCAGAAAAGCTGAAAAAAGACAGCAAAAAGTCTCGAAAAGGCTCGAAAAAGGCTGCAAAAAGGTTGCAGAAAGGCTGCAAAAAAGGCTGCAAAAAGGATGCAAAAAGGCTGCAAAAAGGTTGCAGAAAGGTTGCAAAAAGGCTGCAGAAAGGTCGCAGAAAGGTTGCAAAAAGGCTGCAAAAAGGCAGCAAAAAGGCTGCAAAAAGGCTGCAAAAAGGCGGAAAAAAGGCCGCAGAAAAGCTGTAAAAAGGCAGCAAAAAGGGAGCCTTTTTCGACCCTTCCCGACTTTGCCTCCTCGGGCAAAGTCGGAATGGTGGATAATGGCCGCTAAAAGGGAGAGGCTCAAAAAAGGCCGCAGAAAGGCAGCAAAAAGGCAGCGAAAGGCAGCAAAAAGACAGCGAAAGGGAGCAAAAAGACTCCCTTTATCGAGCCTTCCATTTTTCTGGGATTTTAAAGGCTCGAGAAATGGTGGAGAAAGGGAGAGGCAGCAAAAATGGTGCATAAGGGCTGAGAAAATGGAGCAAAAAGGCAGCAAAAAGAGAGCCTTCGTCGCCCTAAAAGGAACATTTCTATGGTCCTTTATGGACCCTCGGAGGGTCCTTCCGACTTTGCCTATGTCTGAAGCTTTCCTGAAGAGAATTTTCGTTGTATAAACCGCAATTTTCCAAAATTGTCTCTCACCTGAAATTGATGCCTTTTTTGGGAAAGTCCCTGACTTCACGAATGTGTTGGGCGACGAGGGGACGGATTTGGTCGAATGATCGAGGAGTCATCGTTAAATATTGACTCTGGAAAGTCATTTCTCGATTTATTTTCGAATTTCATGCTGAAACTTCCAGGAGACAGGCTAAAATTGACGAAAAAGAGCTCTTTTTAGCGGTCTCTTAGGGTTTCAGCGTTTTACTGACCAATATAGTAGTCAAATTAGTGGCCACTTAAGGGGTTTAAAATTATTGGCCACTATAGAGGTCTAAGTGCTTCTACTAGACCATCAAAAATCTTAGTGGCCACTTTAGGGGTCAATGGATCAACATAACTGGTCCAATCTGTTTGTTTTAAAATTATCGGAGTTGCCGGAAATAATACTGGATGGAAAATTACTGAAGTGGCCACTAAAACGGAAAATAGTGTCCACTATAGAGGTGGGTTTAGTGGCCACTCAAGTGCCCTCTCCGAGTAGTCCTTGAGGAACGTTAGTAGTGTAGTTCCCCCCGTAACCCCGCTACGACCATCGAGGTCTCCAACCATCTTCCCAAAAGCTTCTTCACATTACTGATTATCACCGGTATATCTAATTATCACCGAGATCACTTAATCAGTAGACCGGTCGGAGTACCGCAGGTATATCTAACTATCACTTTATCACTAATCACCACTTATTTCAGGAATTATCAGCCTTGTTCCCCCGAAAAACCATTTGATTTTTTCGAAAAGGTTCTGAAGCCCAGATTTTCCGGCGCGTGATAAGAGCGCGGTGTGGTATAGCGATCTGGCGGCTGTCGAAAAAACGGCAGCGAGGAGCAGTGGGAAGGCGGCGGACTGGGGATCACGAGGTCATAGGTTCGGTTCCCATGCAAACTTTTTGCAGTTTTTATTACTTTTTTGCAGTTTTTATTACTTTTTTGCAGTTTTTATTACTTTTTTGCAGTTTTTTTATTACTTTTTTGCAGTTTTTTTATTACTTTTTGCAGTTTTTTCCTTTTATTCCAGGTTTTGAGGCGTATAAACATGAAAACGTTTTGAACCTATTCGAAAAACTCCATCTTTTCACTTTTTCGTGATTTTCCATGCGTTGGAAGCATGCGTTCCCCAGAGCTTCTTCACATCACTGATTATCACTAATTATCACTGGTTATCACAAATTATCACTGGTTATCACAAATTATCACTAGTTATCAATATTTATCAGTAAATATCACTTTAATCAGTAATCATCCCCCGTTTATCTTTTTCATTATCACCAATTATCACTTTTTATCAGTAATTATAACCGATTTTTCACCAAATTTTCCCGTGTAAAAACAGACATTTCAGACTTTTATATTTTATAAACAATGGGCATTTCATCGGTAATTTTTGGAAATTAAGCGCAATTCAGGATCGGATCTGGGGTGGTTATCGATGATTAAATGATTGTAAGGTGTAGACATGGCGTCTTCATAGGCCGCCAATACATTTTTAAACTTTTCGGGAAAAATTTGAGCGAGTATATTACGAATTTGCAATGCGTCGGAATGAGTTTTGAGGAGGATAATGTAGGTGGAATTGATGCGGCTCGTTCGATCACATTGAAAAGCCGACTGAACCAAATTGAAAACGGCACAATTGTAGTGATGAGCATAGATGCAGAATAAATCATTGAGAACTTTTTTACCTTCTTTACTACCCGAAAAGTAGGACATTAGATCATCCAGGATCACAATACTTTTCTGATGACGACAACTTTTAAGTAACTCCAGGTCTGGAGGGCCCTCAATTTTTTGAACCTTTGGATGATTGGGGATCGAATCATTATCCGTATGAAAAAACCAAAAAATGTTGTCTATTGGTTCATGAAAGTAGTGTTCCGAGTTTTCGACTATTCGCCGCATCAGCGTTGTTTTGCCGGAAGCGGTTGAACCGATGACGGTAGCGCTGCAGGGAAAAGAAAACTTCCAAACCATATCGGCGAATGATAAAAGATAATATGGCTAAAAATGGTAGTAAAATGTATATATAGAACCATGAAGAAGGTGGAGGATCAGGCGCTATAATGAATGGAAGTTGAGTGCGAAGTTTCATGTCTAGCATAATGATTGGTTGGCCGTTAAAGGTAACGCTACCATCCTCGTGAAGTCCAGTCACGCCGCCAGCCGTCACTTCGAAAGCTTTCAAATCTTGTAGCTTTCGGCACGGCTCCAAAGAGCCGGCGTCCGAGAGACGATAAACTGTAGAATTCTGATAAACGTAGATGTGATCACTGCAATGATCGTAAGCAATGTGCTCATACTCGCCACCAATTCGCTTTGCACTACCATTTGAAACATCGTGAAGAATGTTATCACATAAAATAATGATTCGACTGTTAGAAATTGGTTCAAACTCGCAATCAGCGCGAACCAAATGATATCCTCCATCTTGCGTGATAACCACTTCATCGCGTACGATAAAAGTGAAGACTTGGGGTATTCCAAAAAACGTATACCCCTTGAAACGATACCGATAGTCTGTTTCTGACGGCAGGCAGGACAGGTTGGCGAGGGTGAGAGGGTTGGATTTGGCATAAATGATAAAGGCCGTAGCTGATCTGGTAAAAACTACCAGCAGAAAGGTAGACACCGCCCACTGAGAAAGCATTATATAGAGTGACGAAAAACTGAAAAGCTTCATTTTTATCAACCATGCAAGATTTTTACGTTTCTCTACCGTCCAACGTCTCCTACCCGGGGAATACTAGCTCCCGTTACACTACAATTTTACCGAAAGAGGTAAACTTGCGAAAAGGAAAGCACAAGGTGGCCGTTACTGATGTCGTCTTTCCAAACACGTTTGTTAACCGTCCGCTCGACAGTGATTTCACCGTGTTTTACCGCGATGGTACCTGGGAAAACATTATTCTCCCAGCCGGTCAATATAATAGCATAGAACACGTTGTGGACACTCTGAATAGCATCATTGGAGCACCAAAAAAGAAACGTCGAAAGCGTCAGGCCCCTTCTGACCCAACGTCGAAAGACGATGGAAAACGCTTTGAAGACGTCATTGATGCTGCACTCGAAGGAATTGATTTGTCGCCTCCAAAAAGTTTTGCCGCAATTGTCGATGAAATGCTGGAAACAGAGCATCAGGAGAATAAAGTTGCAAAAGCTGCCGCCGATTTTGAAGAAGAAAACCAAAAGGCTATTGCCAAGGCGTTGAAGGAAAAGGCGCAGCTAGCCGAAAAAGAAGAGAAAAAACGAAAAGAGGCTGAAGAACGTGAACGGACCGAAGCTGAGAGGTTGGAACAGAAGAGAAAAGACGAAGAGCGCAGAAAAGCCGCCCAAGAAAAGGCTGATAAGGATAAAAAGGCGGCAGATGAACTAATCGCAAGAGCAAAAGCTAACGAGAAGGCTGCCGAAAAGGCCAAAGAACGCGCCAGTAACAATGTTACAGTTCAGACGGACAAGGCAGATTCTGTGAAAAAAGCAGCGGCCACCGCCACAGCCAAAGCTCAGAATGATCCCGATAACCCAAAGGCGCAAGAAAAGGCTGAAAAGATGCAAAAACTGGAAAAGACGGCAGCCGAGTTGGTGAACAAGGCTAATAAAACGCTGGAAAGCACTACGGCTAAATTCGAAGCTGCACAAGTAGCCACAGAAAAAGTGGTAAAAGACGCAAAAAAAAAAAATCTCACGGATCCTCTAAAACCTCCGGCTACACCATCTACAAAACCTCCAACTACTGAACCTCTAAAACCACCTACAGAGCCACCGCCTACGAAACCTCCAACTACCAAACCTAAAATGCCGTCTCCTACAGACCCGCCGCCGCCTACGAAACCTCCAACTACGAAACCTACAATGCCGTCTTCTACAGAGCCGCCGCCGCCGCCGCCGCCTACGAAACCTTCAACTACAGAGCCGCCGCCGCCAAAACCGCCATCTACCAAACCGCCGCCTCCTACTGTAGTTAATGTGAAAGCCAGACACTCTATTCGTTTTGGCATAACTCCCGAAAAGCACTTATCTATTGATTTCGATAAGAATTTGGTTTCCGAAATCGACCTGTCCCCTGAATTACAATACTTTTTCGGCTTTATTCCCAAAGTACTTTTCAGTCCTGATACTGCCAATTATCACATTGCTTTAATTAATGATGTAAACCTAGTCTATCTGTATTCTGATCTAGTCGAGCACAATATTGTTGGTGATACGTTCGCCCCTCTTTTAACCGTTTTACCTGTGGTTAGTGGTTATAATCAGACAATCCATCATACAATTAGTAATCCTCAGTATCGTGACATTTCGCATGAAATTGTAAACAGCATCTCTATTGAATTTCTAGATGGTATGGGAAATCCCATAAGATTCGAGCACGGCCAGAGTTTTGTAATGTTACACATTAAATATTTCGAATAAACGTTTTATCCCTTTAAATTATAATCGAAAGCATTTTTCATAAAGTATCTGATGAAAGCATCATCACGTTTTATTCTCTTGAAAAGGCTACAAATGTGACCAAAAGAGTGACCTCGCGCCAGCATGGCCACCACGAAACAGGCGAAACCGCCGCAAGTTTCCGTATTTAGGCGTTGTTCGCGTGCCGTGTTACAAACGACGTGGTCGAAGCGCTGGAGATATTTCGAAACTCCTTCAGTCGGTGGCTCGTTCAGCGAGCAGAAAAAGTAGCAAGTTTTGCCGTCTACGTACAAAACTTGCCAATGGCGTCCAGGCTCCCCCTGTCTATCAGTGTTTACGATTAGAGCGTAGCGTCGACGTCTTAAACGCGGTATTTTGTCGCTACTAAAGACTCCGGCAAAGATTTTTGCCGAAGGACCATCTCTGAGTAGAAGACGTGTTAGCTCGCTACCATACATATTACGGTGAATGATTCTTGTAGGTCATTTTAGTCTATTTTACGCAATAAAGATGGCTGCATACTTTATCAATCAATCCGATTTAAACGGCATCCAGTGGTCCCATCTTTTAAACCCTAGCCAATCTGGATATGGCACCGCAAGGTTTCGAGGAACCCTCTATCAGCGCGGAGGACAGTTTGGTCGGGGTATAGGCGGCATACTGGCCAGCCTTCTCACAATGATACCCACTTTTTTACAGTCCAAAGTGGGACAGGAGCTCGGTGGGGCCGTAAAAAATGTGGCTCACGACATTATCAAAGGAGAACCTCTGGTGAGCTCTGTCAAAAAACAGAGCCGCACGGCTGTTCGCAATTTAACTGGTCTGGGAACACGTACAAAGAAGATTGCGGTAAAGCCTGCCAATCATTCTAAAAAATCTCTCTCTGCTAGACGGTCGTACCGCTTACAGTTTTAAAAAAAATGGCCAAAAGTTTCGAACAAAAGTCTGAACAGACTTTGCTGCCCGAAATTGATTTCACCTCTTTACCCGGTACTCAGGTTGGCGTAGCCGCCACTCGATGGGAATATATTCCACTAAAAAATACACTTAAACAAGATGGGCCTTTTGAATTTGAGCTTGCCTCAAATTCGAAAAGTTTTCTAAATCTTAAGCGCACCTACATTGTTTTCACCTTTAACATTACCGATGAGCACGGTGTTCCGTTTCCCCTTCTCGACAAGGATGGTATGGAGCCTTTTTCCTACGCCCCAATTCAATCCATCGGACACTCTCTACTTCGCCAAGTTACTCTTTATCTCAATCACCAGCTAGTCTATGACAGCGACACCAACTATGCCTACCTCGCCTACATTGGAAACACACTAAATTATGACAAATCATGCAAAGAGACTACCCTGCAGCTAGCAGGCTACGCTCCTGATGAGAAAATGGACACGGATGCTAGTACTGACTACCAGCAGCGCTGTAAAATGGTCGTGAAGGGAAAGTCGTGCCAAGTGGCCGCCAATCTCCTCATTCCCATTTTTCAAACGGAACGTTTAATGCTAAATTATTCAAACATTAGACTCGTGGCTCATCCCAACTCGTCCTCGTTCCTTGTCGAATGTCAGGGTCAGGAGAATGCACTAGTTGCGCCACGTGTACGTCTGAATATCGAAGATGTTCACCTAATGGTAAACGCCTATGATTTGCACGACGGCATGTCCAATGCGCTAGAGAAACATTTGCAAGAGACGCAAATGATTCAGTATCCTTACACTAATGTCCAGCTTCGTCACTACAATATCGAGGGTAATAGGACAGAGAGTGCCGCCATCCCTTGTTTCACATCGAGAATCCCAAAACGAGTTATTGTGGGGCTGGTGGAAAGTGATGCGTTCCGTGGAAGCACTCTTAAATCACCCTTCAATTTCCAAAACTTTAACATTCAAAACGTTTATCTGGATGTCGGCGGAGTGACTGTACCTAATCGACCAATGAATTTGGATTACCCGGAAGACCAGTTTGCCACAGCCTACTTGTCAATGGTGGAAGGACTCGGTCTGGCGCGCAATGACCGAAACAATGGAATCACGATGGAAATGTTCAAAAATGGCTACAATTTCTACGTTTTCGAACTTTCGCCTACTGCCAACACGCCAATGTTCGACCTGGTGAAAAACTCTAACGTGGTTCTACGTATACAGTTTCGCGAGAAGACACCTTCCGACGGCCTGGTAGCGCTCGTGTACGCTGAAGTAGACAGTATGCTGCTGATGAATGGAGACCGCTGTCCGGTCATGGAAAAATTCACCTAATTTCATTGTTTTTACACTTTTCTCGTCGATAAAACATTTTATTAAACAGTTAAATTGCATGAAGTTCTGATTCGTTTACCCAAGAGTCGAATTCTGGCGGGTAGCCATACCAGCGGACGAGGCATTGTCGTTTTCCCTTTACACGTCTCTTGGCGAGAATTTTTTCCACTTTGAAGACGTCGGTAGATTCCGTGTAGCGCGTCAGCTCTTGTTCGTAGAATTTTCCGTCGATTGGCTCATCTTTTAGGTCTTTTAGGCGATAGGTGACGGGGTTGGACGGTAAAATGTCGGAAATTTTGAACAATTCCTCGCTGAACCCCTTTTCGTAGCCTTTATCAAAAGTTTTGCGAAGTTTCGATATCCGTACAGTGTCTCCGACTGCGTAGCGGGGTTTTCGTGTCCTTTTTGGAAAATCTCACTAAATTCCCCGTTGGAAACTTGTACGGGTTTTTTACCGATTCCTCGATTAACCGTATGATTTATTCCAAATACTATAGCCGGTAGTGCATCAATATAGCGGTGTGAGTTGGAGAAGGTCATGTATTTGGCTAGGCGAGTTTTGAGAGTTCGATTGGCCCGTTCCACCATGGCAGCTTTCAATTCGGTTTTAGGTGTGTAGTGGCGAATGTGATGAAATTTGAAAAGTCGTTGAATTTGAGCATTGTAAAACTCTTTTCCCTTGTCCGTTACGATTTCTACGGGTATCCGGTCCTGGAAAAGCTCTTCAAAGGCTCGAAAAATTTCGAGAGCACTCTTGTTTTTCACTGGTTTCACGCGTAGGTACCGACTGTAGACATCGATGGATACTAGAAGAAATGTATAACCGTCGTTTTCCTCTTTAAACATGCCGTAATCCACCAAATCACACTGCCAGGTCCAGTCTAGCCCAATTCCGCGAGTTTTTAGACGTGGAAAACGTTTTCGAACGGGTTTATGTAAAGTATAAACATATTCGCTTTCCAAATACTTTTCAACGTCGGCAATTTTGGCATCTTTTATAGTTTTGTAAAGATTAACAATGCCCGTAAAGGCGGCGGGAGACGAAAAATTTAGGTAAGCGTCTCGTAAAAGATTGTTCATTTTTATGAACACTCTCATTCAGCCGGTTCTTTTTTAATGTCCTCGTACGAAATCCAGTCTGCGGGCTCTTCTTTAATCTTTTTAGTTTCGCGAATGCGATATTTGGAAGGAATTTCCTCATCGTCTGCATAATCACTAGTGTGATGCCGTTTCACCAGTTTTCTTCTTTTCAGCTTTCTCGGCGCCCTCATTCTAATTTTCATTTCTCGCCTTTTCAAAGCCAGCAGGCTCGGTTTTTTCACAGGACTTTTGGCCCGAATCTTTACCGGTATCTCGTCTTCGCCCGAATACTCTCTTTTACGGACTTTCGACTCTGGCTCTTCTTTTTTAATTTTGGCTCGTTTCATCCTTCTCAATTTTCTCTTTTCCTCTGCGCGCATACTTTTAACTGTCTTTTCCAGGGCATGCTTTTTTCTGACCTCTTTTTTTTTATGAGGTTCTTTTTTATGAGCTTCTTTTTTATGAGCTTCTTTTTTATGAGCTTCTTTTTTATCTTTTTTATAAGATTCGTCTTTATAATATTCGGGTTCTATTTTATAAGATTCGTCTTTATAAGATTCTTCTTCATCAGATTCTTCTTTATAAGCTTCAGGTTCCTCTTTATAAGATTCTTCTTCATACGATTCTTCTTCAAAAGATTCCGATTCATTAGATTCTTCTTCAGAGTCGTCCGTTTCTTCTTTCTCCGATTCAGTCTCTTCTTGTTTTAAAAGTCGGTATTTCGAAGGTATTTCATTAACATAATCTTCAGTATGACGCCGTTTTACAAGTTTTTCTCTTTTTAGGAATGCAGGTATCTCGCCGGAAAGTTTTCCTTTTTCGGGCTTTAAAAGTCTTTTGACAGACGGCTCTTTCTTAACGGCTCTTGGCAGCTTTTCTTCCGAGTCATCATCTTTCATGTCTCTTTCAGAATCTTCCATGTCTCTTTCAGAATCTTCCATGTTTCTTTCAGGAGCATCTGCGTCTCTTTCAGGTTCTTCATATTCTCGGGTACGATTCCTTTTCGAAATTTTTCTCCGGAGCGTCCTCCTCAATGGTCTCTTTTTTCGTATGAAGGCGCTCACTTCTTCTCGCCTTTCCGTGATATCAGCACTCGCGGGTTCTTCTGATTCTTCCAATCTTGTAAGAGGAGAGCTATGACAGCCTTTAAAACTCTGAAACCGTGAAAGCATATCCTCGTACAGGGCCGCCTTTTCAAAGTCTAGCAATTCTGCATTATCGAGTATGGTGGATAGAGCATTCCGAATAGACTGAACTTTGTTAGCGTCGTCATAGGGAAGTAAACGGTATTTATGAATGGGGTTCATTGCGAACCGCTCAACAAGAGTGCAGGTGTAATATATGCCTTGTGGTGACGAGGTTCCAGAAGAAAAAGGAGTTTACGAGAGCGTTCAATGTTTGGTTTTTTGGCAATCTCCCTTAGGATATCTTGCACAGGATGCAAAATTTGAAGCTCCGTTTTGGTGAGTTTCATGCTGGGAGATTTGAATAAGTTGTAAATTACTTCGACAAGACACTTTATCTGATCGTCGGCGGCGGCCATCACTGCGTAGCTCTGTTTCTGAACCAGCTTCAGAAACGGTTCATGAATAATAACACGGCTGGAAACCATGTTTGCAAATTGTAGGAATGAATGATTTTTTTCATGCACTGTTTAAATCCCTTTCGAGAAATGAAGCAGTGATATCATTGATAATTAGTGATATAGGTGATTATCAGTTTAAAAATGTATTGGCGGTCTATGAAGACGCCATGTCTACACCTTACAATCATTTAATCATCGATAATCACCCCAGATCTGATCCTGAATTGCGCTTAATTTCCAAAATTACCGATGAAATGCCCATTGTTTATAAAATATAAAGTTCTGAAATGTCTGTTTTACACGGGAAAATTTGGTGAAAATCGGTTATAATTACTGATAAAAGTGATAATTGGTGATAATGAAAAGATAAACGGGGGATGATTACTGATTTAATTGATATTTACTGATAAATATTGATAACCAGTGATAATTAGTGATAACCAGTGATAATTAGTGATAATCAGTGATAATTAGTGATAATCAGTGATGTGAAGAAGCTCTGGGGAACGCATGCTTCCAACGCATGGAAAAATCACGAAAAAAAGTGAAAAAGATGGAGTTTTTCGAATAGGTTCAAAAACGTTTTTCATGTTTATACGCCTCAAAAACCTGGAATAAAAAGGAAAAAAACTGCAAAAAAAGTAATAAAAAAACTGCAAAAAAAGTAATAAAAAAACTGCAAAAAAAGTAATAAAAAAACTGCAAAAAAAGTAATAAAAAAACTGCAAAAAAAGTAATAAAAAAACTGCAAAAAGTTTGCATGGGAACCGAACCTATGACCTCGTGATCCCCAGGCCGCCGCCTTCCCACTGCTCCTCGCTGCCGTTTTTTCGACAGCCGCCAGATCGCTATACCACACCGCGCTCTTATCACGCGCCGGAAAATCTGGGCTTCAGAACCTTTTCGAAAAAATCAAATGGTTTTTCGGGGGAACAAGGCTGATAATTCCTGAAATAAGTGGTGATTAGTGATAAAGTGATAGTTAGATATACCTGCGGTACCCGACCGGTCTACTGATTAAGTGATCTCGGTGATAATTAGATATACCGGTGATAATCAGTAATGTGAAGAAGCTTTTGGGAAGATGGTTGGAGACCTCGATGGTCGTAGCGGGGTTACGGGGGGAACTACACTACTAACGTTAAACTCTTGAGTGGCCACTAAGTTTTTCCAGAAAAATCATGCAAAAAAAAGTTTTCCCTAGGCTTTTTGAAGGCGCAAGGAGCGGCTGAAATCAACGAAAAAGAGCTCTTCTTTGTTTTTATAACAAATTTTTTTCTAAAAAGGAAATATCTATACAATGCAGAACGAGCAAAGAAGTCGATAAACCCGAGAAAAATGGCAAAAATGATAAGAATCGGTGGGCGCCACTGATAGGATAGGTCAGACGATTTGGAGAAGAGGGTTCAAAGATCAGAAAAAAATTTGTTTTCTTCAATATTTCGTGCCAGGACCTTTTTTCTTCAAAATGCAATGGTTAAAATTTTTGGGATGCAAATCACTGTACTTGAAATTTCCAGAGTGGTCCGTAAAATCAAGGCGGTCCCTATACGGGTTTAGGACCCGACCCCTTAGCCCCTAAAGCTCAAGTGGACCCTATAGGGGTCTTTCGATTTCATTTAAAAAACGTTTATTTATTCATTTTTTCTCACGGAAATGCTTCTTGGCTTAGAGTTCATAAAAATTATCGACTAGCATGTACCCTATAGAGACCACTTTTGGTTGCTTTAGTGACCCTTATAGGGGTCAGTAAAGTGATCCCTAGAGGGTTAAATATAAAGGCTTTTACTGTTTTTTTCAATGAAAGACCCGCGAAATTTGAAAAAATTTTCATTTTCTGAGTACAACTAAAAGGACATGAACAAGAAATATACAACAAAAAAACAATAAAACGCCATTTTTCAGCTCAAAAAACCTTTTTGGATTATTAAATGACGTAGGAAATGCTCTAAACTTTCGTCTCAACAAGCTTTTTCTGAACTAAAAATCATTCTAAACATTAGAATGTGTTGAAAAAAAGCACTGGGATACCTGATTCAACCAAAAAAACAACAGTAAATCAACTAAAACTAACTAAACACGTAGATATCCGTTTTAAAAATATTGAAAAATCGCAATTCTGATAATTTTTTTGTTTAGTTTTTTTATTCGATTCCATGAAATCCTTTGGCTTCGTTGATTTTGGCGGCAATGTAGGGGGATCCTCCTGAAAATTTGAGAGTTTGGTGGGGTCATAGTCTTTTCAGCTCAAGCTCCGCCCCCTAAAGAACCAATCAGAGCGCGTTTTCTAATGACGTCATTCTACTGGGCATTCAAAATCTGACTATAAATTTTTGTGCAAAATTAGATCAAAAAAAAAATGATTTCTTAGTTATTCTTAGAAAATCCAGAGTGGTCCCTCTAGGGGCAACCTTAGGGACCACTTTACCAACTCCTACAGGGGCCACTAGAGCTTGCAAAAGTGGTCCCTATAGGGTACATAGTCGATAAGTGTTATGAACTCTAAGCAAAAAAGCCTTTCCATGAGAAAAACTGAATAAATAATGAAATTTTAAGAGAGACCCCTATAGGGGCCACTTGATTTCTAGGGGCTAAGGGGTCAGGCCCCTACAGGGGTTTTTTTTCTCTTTAACCCCTATAGGGACCACTCTGGAATTCTTAAGTTTGTCGCGCGTCGATACTTTGCTTCTTTAAAGAAATTTTTGGCTTTCAAAGGTTAAAAATGAACCGAAAAAGCTACAAAGTGGTACTTGACATTTAAAACCGAAAAAATAAAAAATTTTGAACCTTTTCTTAAAAACGACATAAAATATGATTTTCAAAAAGAAAATTAATCAAAAAAATAAAAAAATTTTGAGTCCATAAAACTAATTTTTCTCAATCTCAATACCCTAAGATTACTTTGCCTTTCAAATGATCTAAATGTCGTCGCAACGTTGGTTATTTGATTTTTTATCTTTTAACCCAAACCAAAAACTGAAAACTCATCTAATTTATCAAATCTGAAATCAAACCTCGATCCGGATGATTAACGATCATGATCCGTTTGTGGGCCTCTTTGACTTTGGCCGGTTTCGCGGTGGCCGGGATTCCCAAAATCAGGGAAGCCTCCCTGCGGCTCATTTTCGCGTCAAATCCTCCGCGATAGTACTTTTCGAACTGAAAATTATACATAATATCCTCCAAAAAAATATTCTAGAACAGAAAAAAAGATCATTAAAAAGCTAGTTTGAGCCGAAAAAAATGTTAGCGGAAATTACAGAATTTCGAAAAAAAGCTATTTATTATTTTTTTCAAAAAAAGGGTCGAATTTTAGAGATTTTGCTTTTCAAAACCTTCAAACTATCAGTTTCAAATCAATCGTTAGAACTATAAATTCATACATTAAAAAGGTTCAAAGTTATTAAATCATAAATTACAAACGTAATCCTCGAAAATTTCAAAAAAATCAAGTTTTTGCTCAATTTTTCGTCGAATTTCATCACAAAAAAATTCCCTAAATAACGTCCAAAAAAACTGAATAAATGACAAGTTTCATCAAAAAAATACATCATTTTATCACAAAAATAGACAAAAAACCCAACAGCGCCACCCGGAATCGCCTCGATACTTCTTTTCAGAAGCGCCTGATTCCTCAAAACATATCGGGCTCCAAATCCCGCCGCGGCTAGCCCGAGGCCCGCCACAATCAAACCGGTCGACTGGAAAAAAATATTGAAATTTATACGGAAAAATTAAAAAAAGTTATATTTGTAATATAAAAAAACTTCCTTATTTTGAAGAAAAAAATGCGATTTTTTTAGCGGTTCTTTCTCATTCGAAAAATTACCCATGATCAAAAAAATTTAAATTTAAAAAAATAATAAAGCACTGTAATAAAACACTTAAATGTAAAAAAACTTTGGAATAAAAAGCCAAAAAAAGTTTTTTTAGCGTAGTCCAATGAAAGATTTACAACAAAATTCCATAAATTGTCACATTTTTAATCCATTTTCTCATATAAATGGAAAAACCATTCATTTCCCAATTTCACAAGTTTTAAAAATAGCTAATAATGAAATATAAATCAATAATTGATTCCAAAACCTCACCATGATACTTCAAAAGAAGATCGCGTGGAAACCTGCAGCCTACAAACATTATTTCAATCATTTCCTAAACAATTAACAAAATATTCGCAGAAACACTTTCCAAAACGAAAAACGACAAAATTTGCAACGCTATACGTTTATTCTTGGGGAAATTTGACAAGATAAATGGAAAGAAAAGAATAATTTCGAGAATCCGTAGGATCAGGGTGGCGGAATAATTTATGCGAACTTTAAAGGAGCAGCGGAAATTTTAAGGAAATGGTCTTGAAAGGGAAGCTAGCGATGAGGAACGTAACTAATTTGGATGGAAATCTGACAAAGTGAATCAAGCAAAGTGGTGCAAATGAGAGAATAAATGATTTGAAAGGAAGGAAAAAGATCATTTTTTGGGATATTTTTCATTCGAGGTACTGTTGTTCTTGGTTGCCGTCGTCGCCTATGACGACTTGCATTTTGACGTCTTCTTCGTCGTTGGGATCATCTCCAACCGTCTGCTCCACGATCCATTCCGTTGGGACGTCCTGGAAATCGTTCTTTTTTGAAAAATGGCGAAGAAGATGATGCTCCTTGAAAACTTGAAAAACATCGTTTTTTTTTCATTCATAAGATGGACTAGCGTCTTTTCTCACAATTTTTGTAGTTTTCCGTTTTTTAACGGATCTTGGAGGGCTAAAAGAACCCTTAAGGGATCTAGTGGACCTTAATTATGCTCTCACTTTTTCAGAAAATCCATAGCCTTTTTAAAAGACTAATAAACGTTTAATATCCTTCAGAGCCCTCTTAAGACCTTGAATGTTCAAAAATTATTTTTTTAAAAAAATCAGAAAAATGCACTTTTTTTAAAAAGCCATAGAGATCGAAAAAAACGTTATAATACCCTTAAGAGGCCTCTTGGACCTTGCTTATGACCTCAAATGTTCAAAAAATCCATAAAGTCTTCTTTAAAAGTCGAAAAACCCTTAAGAGGCCTCTCGGACCTTGCTTATGACCTCAAATGTTCAAAAAATCCATAAAGTCTTCTTTAAAAGTCGAAAAACCCTTAAGAGGCCTCTCGGACCTTGCTTATGACCTCAAATGTTCAAAAAATCCATAAAGTCTTCTTTAAAAGTCGAAAAACCCTTAAGAGGCCTCTCGGACCTTGCTTATGACCTCAAATGTTCAAAAAATCCATAAAGTCTTCTTTAAAAGTCGAAAAACCCTTAAGAGGCCTCTCGGACCTTGCTTATGACCTCAAATGTTCAAAAAATCCATAAAGTCTTCTTTAAAAAGTCGAAAAACCCTTAAGAGGCCTCTCGGACCTTGCTTATGACCTCAAATGTTCAAAAAATCCATAAAGTCTTCTTTAAAAGTCGAAAAACCCTTAAGAGGCCTCTCGGACCTTGCTTATGACCTCAAATGTTCAAAAAAATCCATAAAGTCTTCTTTAAAAAGTCGAAAAAAACCCTTAAGAGGCCTCTCGGACCTTGCTTATGACCTCAAATGTTCAAAAAAATCCATAAAGTCTTCTTTAAAAAAAGTCGAAAAAAACCCTTAAGAGGCCTCTCGGACCTTGCTTATGACCTCAAATGTTCAAAAAAATCCATAAAGTCTTCTTTAAAAAGTCGAAAAAAACCCTTAAGAGGCCTCTCGGACCTTGCTTATGACCTCAAATGTTCAAAAAAATCCATAAAGTCTTCTTTAAAAAGTCGAAAAAAACCCTTAAGAGGCCTCTCGGACCTTGCTTATGACCTCAAATGTTCAAAAAAATCCATAAAGTCTTCTTTAAAAAGTCGAAAAAAACCCTTAAGAGGCCTCTCGGACCTTGCTTATGACCTCAAATGTTCAAAAAATCCATAAAGTCTTCTTTAAAAAACGAAAAACCCTTAAGAGGCCTCTCGGACCTTGCTTATGACCTCAAATGTTCAAAAAATCCATAAAGTCTTCTTTAAAAGTCGAAAAACCCTTAAGAGGCCTCTCGGACCTTGCTTATGACCTCAAATGTTCGAAAAAATCCATAAAGTCTCCTTTAAAAAATCGGAAAACCCTTAAGAGGACTCTTGGATCTTGCCTATAAAATCATACGTTCAAAAACTCCATAGTCTCCTTCAAAAAATCGAAAAACCCTTAAGAGTCCTCTTGGCCTTGCCTTCCAAAATAGTCTTTCTAAATCCACGAGATTCACCTCATCGAGCTGGAGCTGATTGTCCTGCTGCTGTTGCTGATCATGACCCTCGTCGATCATGTGAGTTCCGTCTTGCATCTGCTCGGCCTCGTCCATCATCGTGGCTCCGTACTGTTCAAAGCGGTTCTGGAGGGAGGCGAGCATGTTCTCCCGTAGCTTGCGGTTCTCCGTCTCGAGCTGACGGATCCTCGCGTTGAAATTGTCTTCGCGCGACTCGTAGAGGTTCCTCTCTTGACGCTGTCTCTGACGATGGTAGTCGGTGAGGGCGTTGTTGGCGGCCGTCGTCCGTTCGAGCTCGTTGAGCAGCATCCCGAGCATGTTGTGGTACTCCTCGGGGCTCATCTGCGGCTGCTGGGCGGCGATCGCCTTCCACTTGTCGAAATCGACCTTGGTCTCCTCCAGGACGTCCTTGATCCTCTCGTCGAGATCCACGATGGATTGCTCGAGGAGTTGGGCGTTCTGGCGGAGGGAGTTGGGCAGGATCCGGACCACCTAAAAGGGAGAATTTTAATTGGAAATCTTCCATTTTTAGCCTTTTTAATGATCTTACAATGCTCTTTCTGAAGAGGATAGGCTTACTAGGTACATTTTTTCAATGTATTCCGTATTTGGGCTTCTAGGTGCATTTTTTCGAATTAATTTGAGCTTAAAATCGCCCAAAAGGCCCTTGGAAGAAGTTAAAAAAAGAAAAAGTCAAATCATTTGATTGAGTTCTACTTTTTCAATACTTTTTTTGGACCACATAAAAATCCCCCCTCCCCCTCAGTTTCCAATTTTTCAAAAAGAGGAACTCAACTAAAAAAATGAAATGATCATGACTACCTAAAGGAGATAATTTGAATTGGAAATCCTCCATTTTTAGCCTTTTTAATGAGCTCACAGTGCTATTTCTGAAGAAAACAAGCTTACTAGGCGAATTTTTGTCAAATTATCCCGTATCTGAACTTTAAAACGCCTAAAAGGCCCTTGGAAAAAGTTAAAAAAGAATAAAAGTCAAAATATTTGAACCAACAGAAAAAAAATTACCCTAAATATAACTATTGCTCTACGAAACTGCTAGAAAGACAACAAAAAACAAAGGTCTTGAAGCGAAAATGCTTAAATTTGATCTAAGTACGGCATTTCTGAGTTAAAAACTATTACTTTTTTTCGTCAAAAAATTCCGTAAAACTGAATTTTAGCAAGCTTTATCCATGGAGCGCATTTAACTCATTAATCTGGAATATTTATAAAAAAGGGTCTCGACACGAATAACGGAATAGGGTGTGAAAAGAAGAGGTTTAGACGTAATTTTCTTCAAAGTGAGCCAGAAATGGCTTTTTTTCCATTTCATTTTTCTTTCTAAATTTAGTAAAAAAATCTTATTTTTTTCTTAGCTCCGCCCTTTCCAAAGGCTCAAGGACCTTAATAAAAGAAAAAAATCAAGCTTCTTAAAGTTTTTAAAAAAATCGAAAAAAACACGCTCAGAAATCTAAAAAAACTGATTTATTAGATTATTCCAAACCTTGACGGGCCGATTCTCCTTGGAAGTGTCGACATAACTGCTGGGGGCCCGGGAGGAAGTCGCCCGGATCCCTTGGTAGGAATTCGGGATCCCTATCCGCTTCGACATTGGCCCCACGCCACTAGCCGAGAGCTCCCTCTTCCGGGGGACACTCACGAGTCGGGCACCTCCGGGCGAAACTCGGGGGTTCGGCGGCGGGACGTGATTGTGCAGGATGGGGTTGCTGGGAGGAAGGCGGGCGGCGGCGTAGGTCGCCTTGTTCTGCAGCTTGGCGACCATGTCCAGCGCCATCGGCTGGGAGGCGCCGAACTTGGGAGGACGGCCCGGGCGACGCGGGCCGTTCCCGGGCACTGCGAAGCGAGCTTGTCTGGAGGTCGCGTAGTGCTGGTGGGCCATTTGGGCGTCGTTATGGTCGAGGGTCATGTCCTCTTGTTCCAGGACTTCTTCATTCGTGACCTCCTCCACGACGACTTGGCCGCCTTGCCGCAGACGTTGGCCGTTTCCAGACACTGAAAGGACACTTATTTTGTAGGAAAACTAAGATTTTTCAATGAAAAAATAGCTAAGTCTGATAATTTATTAAAATCCGTCTTCTTTTTCAAAAATATCTATTGATTTCCGTAGAAAAGATGGATTTTTTTGAGGCCAAAAAAATTTGTTTAGTTAAAAAGCAGGCTGTTTCAACATATAGAACCCATGTAAAAAAATTTTTAAAAAGTCTCCAAAAAAATGCAAAAAAGTGATTTTTTTGACTACCATGGCCTTTAAAATCATCCATTTCATAGAAATAATTTGCTTTTTTTGAATTTCAACACCTGTTTGACCTTCTGAAAAAGAACCACCCCAATAAAAAAGCCATAAAAAGGAAAAAACAGGTTTTTCAAAAGCCATTTTTGGTTTTTTGACCTTTGTCATTGTTGAAAAGTTTTCCCCACAAAATAAACTTTGATTTTTTTATTTTTACTTTAAAAAAAACCTATAGTTTTCAATAAATATTAAGTTGAACCGTTGTAAAAATATATTTAAAAACATTCAAAAAGAGTATTTTTGGCCCTTTTCTAGTTGAAATTTAAAAAATCACAACCACAAAAATTATTACACATTGAGCTTCCTCATATTAAAACAAGAATTTCGCGATTTCGAACATTTGTTCCAATTTCCTCAGTATGATGCAAAAATTTTTGAAGCTATCCTCCTTCAAACATCTACATACATGAGCAATGAATCTATTATAAAAGGCTTTTTAAAATTTAAGAAATAGAACTAAACGATTTTACATCACTTTTCCAAAAAGTTTTCTTTTCTCGTTTCTAGAAAAAAATAACTATTTTGAAATAACCTGTTTCTGCGTCAATAACACCGAGTTCCTCATGATCAATCGTTTCTAACCCAACCATCTCGCCGTTATGACTAGAAGTGGCTTCCGAATGAGGAGATCGAGCGCGAAAATATCGCTGCCGCCGAGATGTCATTAATTTATGCTGAAAGAATTTCCGATCACTTCCTAAACTCGACCTTCATCACATATCTATCAAAATCTACCAAATACCACATCGAAAATTATCAATAATAAAGAAAAAATGGCGTTGCGAGTGAATCGAAGAAATGATGAGAAAATCTTCAAAAAATAAAAAGTTTTATTGTCAAATTGTTAACCACTAAGAGTTATCTCTGAACAACATATAGAACAATGTGAAACTTCATTATAAAATAGAAAATTAGAAAAAATATAGAAAAGCCGAGCTTTTGAAAAAAAAGCCTCAAAGTTGTCGTAAGCTTTGACGCCGCGGACGCAAACAGCGGACCTGACGCAAAGGTCATTTTGAAGTTCATGCCAGAAAATCGATAACCTGGTTTTTTAAAGTTATTTTTGTTGTTATATGATTAATTTCTTCTTCATCTTGTACTATAAGGAACATTTTATTATAAACCGGATCGTTTTTTTAGTAAACCGTCTTAAAAAAATCATGAAAAATTGTTGTGGAAAAACCCATTTTTCTAACTCTCCTAAAATGTGATGATTCAGAGCGAAAAAATTTCAAGTTTTGGTCAAAATTCCTATGTAGGTAATAAATTAAGCCGCACCCAACGCCATAGGAGAAAAAAATAACAGTGGGCAATTAACTTCTCCTTTTTAAGCGTTTTCGGGTGGGACCAAAAAAACGAAAGGTCATTCCAGCGGCCTTGAGTGTCTCTCCAAAGCTGTTTTTTTAAGTATAACTTTCTTGGTTTCCTCCTCTCACGAATCTTGCAGCGTGTTTTGTTTTCCTTATCAATCGTCAAAAAAAAATGTTTGCAGCAAAAGATGGAGTTGTATATTTATAAATTGATCCTGATGGGGGTCATGATCCTCGGCACAGTTGCTTCTGGTCTTTCTCCTTTGAAGGTTGATTTTTGGAAATGAAAAAATGTTATAATTTCGAAATTTTAAGATTTTGCGAGCACTGCGCCATCGGGCGGCCAACGCAGAAAGTTCACGTCGTCATCGTCACGTTTCTCTTATTCTTTGTCTTCTAACTTGCTTTTCAGGAGGTTTATAATGAAAGGATTAATCTAGGAACTGATTTTCAGTTTTAGTTCATCCACATTAGCTTTCTGAGCATTTTTTAGGGCGTAAATTGGAAAAAAGCTGGTCATTTTTGGTAGAATTTTGTTATTTTTTTGATTTTCAGTTGTTTTATTTTTGTTTCAACTAGTTCAACTGTTGAAAAATGGAGAAATGTCTTGAAATTGAGCAAAAATTCTCCAAAATGGGATATTTTTCAAAAAATTGAATTTTTAAGTGTCCTTCAGGAGTTTGTGGTGAACTGTAAAATTTCGTTTTTTTAAATTTTTAAGTTTTTTTAAATTTTTTTGTTTCAACTATTTTTTTACTGCTCTAAATAGAGAAATGTCTTGAAATGAAGCAAAAAAATGCTCCAAAAATTGAATATTTTTTTCAAAAAAATTTAACGCACATGAATCATTGAAATTTTTATGCCATTTCCTTTCAAATTCACTTTTTTTAAAAAAATTTAGAAAAATCATAATTTTTGCGCCAAAGCTTTTTTTCCTAGTCTCTTTTTAAGTCTCCCACTAATTTTTGAATGGATTTAACCTTGAAAAAATGAATCTGAAGTCAGAAAAAAGCTAATTTTAACATTTTTCATTGAAGGCGTGTTCCTGGCGACATGTTTCCTGCACCTTTTCCCCGAGTTGGTGGAAAATGTGAAGAATTTGGACCAGAACCACGGGATCCACATCAATTATCCCATAGCCGAGCTGCTCAGTTGCCTCGGCTTCTTTTTGCTCTTTTTCATCGAAGAAGTCGGCTTGTTTTTTGGAAATTGAAAGAAATATTGGGTTCAGCTGGTTATAATGCTGATTCCTGCGATGGCCCACAGTCACGGACATTCTTCGGATCATCACCATCATCATCATCGTTCCAACAGCGGGTTTGTCTGGGAAAACTTGGGATAATCTTGGAAAATCTTGGAAGATTCGTAAATTTTATGTTTTAACCTTGTTTCACTACAAGGCTGGTTATCATACTTTTCTAACTGGCTCAAAATTGGCCAGAATATCATTTTATTTTCAAATAAAGTTCCTGAAATGCTCTTCTAGTTTTTTACAAGGGCAAAATCTCTTCAATCGACCTTTTTTCATTTTTGAAGGCTCCTTTATGAAAAAAAACAGTTGGAACTTCATTCGACACATTCCTTAGGAATCCCAGAGTGGTTCCTATAGGGGTTAGAGGCCGAAAAAGTGGTATCTAAAGGGTTTAGCCCCTAAAGCTCAATTGGACCCTATAGGGGTCTCGCTTATTTGTTTAACTTTTCGCATGGAAGTGGTTCTTCGCTTAGAGTGTATAAAAATTATCGACTAGCATGTCCCCTATAGGGACCACTTTTGCAAGCTTCAGAGGCCCCTTCAGGGGTTGCTAAAGCGGTCCCTAGATTCCCCTATAGGGACCACTCTGGAGTTCCCAACTAGAAAGTATTCTGAAAAAAATTTCACAAAAATATTGAAGTTCATAGCATTTACTTTCCTTATGAGAAGAATTTTAGAATTTTTCATCTTTTTTTTATTTGAGAAGTAATCTCTTAAAGCTGATATTTTTTTGTGAAATAAGTAGGGTTTTCGAACTTCTAAGACCTTATAACTTGACTAGAAAACAGTAAAATATTTTAAAGTTGAAGTTATGGTACTTCAAAGTCGTTCAAGTTCAAATTTTTCTTCGAATTCTACGTTTTATTCCATTTTTAGCGATAGAGAACTTCCAGAAATCAAGAAAGGGCCGGGGAAAATGAAGAAATCGCCGCAAAGGCCACCGAATGCTGTATGGCGGTCGAGGCGGCCGGCGTGTTCAAGAAAGTCGACAGTTCTTCGAATCAGAGTGGTTTGTTTCTAGAAAAATAGAATTATTTGAAAATTTAAGATATTTAAAGAAAAATTTATTGTAAGAATATTTCAGGAAAAAAAGTTTAGAAGCGAATAATCTACGAAAAAAATCGTCTGAATTTTGCAAGTTTATTATATTTTTTTGAGGTATTTGACAGGAATTTTTTTGACGTATTTTTGAGTAGTGAAAATCTTTTTTTGCATTTTTTTAAAGGCGCATGGATCATTTTCAAAGGTCTCGAAGCGAAAAAGTTTCTCAAAAATTTTTGTAAAATTTTTGGTTCAAAGGGCCCGAGATTAAAGTCACGACCTCCCGATGAGGAAAATTAATTTTCATCCCCCTTTTTTTCAAAAATTTCTTTGGCTACTTCCTCAAGTGTGATTTTCGAAGATCAAATCAAATAATTTATTATTTTTTTGGGGGGGGAAGGGTAGGTCGCATTTTTTTGGGGGGTAGGCCGCAGTTTGAGGGGGTAGGCCGCTTTTTGGAGGGAGGGGGGCCGCAGTTTGAGGGGTGGGGGAGAGTAGGCCGCACCCCGGGGTGGGATCCAGCCGATGTATGAGTTGAAAGCATGGCTTTACGGTCCTCCGCCTCGTTCTTCAGTCCTTTCAGTTGCTCCTTGACGAGCTCAGAATGTAGCCGATCTTGTGCTGGAGCCTTTGGACTGTGCTTTAGGTGGATCGAGAGCGACCAGGGGTGACTATGAAAACTTGCCCGGATTTCAGGTAACCGACAGGAGGAGACGACCCTGTTGAGCGAGGAAAGTCAGTTGAACGACGGCCATTGCCAGACACATTGTCCCGTGACTGTCCATGCGAGACCCTTGCGCACCGAGGAATGTACCGCTACCACGAGGTTTATAATCATTTTTTTTTTCTCCATAATAATTATTTGAAAAAATTCTCTGACCTTCCAGTGTTTAATAAGCACGGCGTTCCCAAACGGGGTGGCAAGACGTCAAAAAAATTTTGGCGCGAAATTTGAAATCTACAGTACTTCAGCCGAAGGCGATCGAACAAACAAGTTAACGTTGAATATTCAGTGTAATTGTGACGTCACGTGACGTAATTTTATCCGTAGCGCGCACTAAATTTTTTCTGTAAATTCAGAAACTTTGACGCCTCGCTCACCTTCCCTCACCCCCATTAGGAACGCCGTGATAAGATTTTATCAGATTTTATAGTTTTCCGTTCCCTGAGAAAGTTTTGATTGGAAAATTCTGTATAAATCGCATTTTTCGGAAAAAGGTTATACTGATAAGTTTTTAGCATCTAGTTCTTCTCGAATCTTTGAACTTTCTAAGAAAAAATGGTAGAATATTCGAACTTAAAAACTGGCAGGCGCAACACAAAAAATTATTTATTGTTTTCAATTATTTTCAACGTTTTTTTCTGGATTTAAAAAGTGAAAAAATTTTGGATTTTCACTTTTTTCTATACAACAGCTTCAAGGATTTTTGAATTACGAAGTTTTTACGTAAATTTGTATCAATTTTGGATGAAAAGGCTTCCTGCGCCTTTAAATCGACTCAGGAAGGTTATGAATGAACTATTCGCGTTTTTTATTCGAGAAGTTTGAGAAAAAGCGGAAAAATCCTTGGTTTCAAAAGAAAATAAAGTAACGTTCAATTTTGAATGGCAAGTTCGAACTTTTGAAAAAAAAAAACGAATTTCGAAAATTTGAAACAGAAAGGTGACCTTCAGACGCTTAAATCGTCATATTTTTTAAATAAATCCCCTCAAAAAAATTCATTCTACCTATAGACCCTCTTTGAATCGTGGACGACGAACTTATGGAAGTATTCATCCGGTTGAAAAAATTGAAATGGCTACAAAACTCAACAGGCAGGAAATTGGCGACGTCTGTCCGATGTGTAGCGGGTTCCGATAATGTTCATTATAGTTGATTCGCCGTTGGTTTTAGCTTGAAAATTAAAGGAGCAGCCGATTTTTTGAAGAAATGGTCTTGAGAAGATTAGAGAAATAGTGCGCGAAGATGAGAGATTTTAGAGAGGCCGTTTTCTAGAGAGTTTTATAGATTTTTTAAAGATCAAAAAAAATTTGGAAACTATCTCTGACCCTCCAAAAATTCAGTGATCTTTTTCACTCTCTGACGGAAATTTTGAATTTTGAACATACGTGGGCTAACAGGCTGTTTTTCACTTTCGGGCCCCCCTATTCATTCAGATGGCTTTCTAAGCCGCGGAAAATGCATCCATATTATTTATCGAGCTTTTTAAAGTACATTTAGTGAGAAATTCGTTGCCTATCTTTTTGCCTAGCTCCAAACGGTAGAAAAAATCGAGAGGAATCGTAGAAATAGCCTTATAAAAAATTCCAGAGCTGATTAATCGACCTGAATTCTAGTTTAAATGGTACCAATGGATGATATATACATGCTCATAAAATTTTTAAGCCGTTTGGAAAAATTGAAAAAAATAATCAACTTCTGACCCCATAAGAAAAATGATTTCTGAAATCTACAATTTTTTTGGCTCAAAATCTATATTAAACTTGAGTTAACTCTGAATAAGGTATATCCTCCAAATTTCCAACCTTCCGGACGTTTTTTGACCAAGTTACAGTGTTTCAAAGTGTTATCACTTGACGGTTTGCGTACCCCCCGTACTCCCCCAAAAATCGGAAAATCGATCTGTTTTCAATGTTATTCCACATTATAAAGGGAGTTTTATGATCTGGCCAAGTTTCAGGCCGTTGGGATGAGTTTTAAGGAAAATAGATTTTTGGACCACCGGGAAGGGATATTTTGAAATTTTGAATTTTTTGGCTCAAAATCAATATTAAACTTGAGTTAACTCTAAATAAGGTATATCCTCCAAGTTTCCAGGCTTCCGGACGTTTTTTGACCAAGTTACAGTGTTTCAAAGTGTTATCACTTGACGGTTTGCGTACCCCCCCGTACTCCCCCAAAATCGGAAAGTCGATCTGTTTTCAATGTTATTCCACATTACAAAGGGAGTTTTATGATCTGGCCAAGTTTCAGGACGTTGGGATGAGTTTTAAGGAAAATAGATTTTTGGACCACCGGGAAGGGATATTTTGAAATTTTGAATTTTTTCCTCGTTTCGTTTTGCAAATGACCTAGTGGATGTAAGAATGCGCGTTGATCACGATTTTGCTAGTTTCAATCCAAAAAAACAGGAGATAAAAAAGTTATTCGGGAAACTTACCCAAAATCACATGTTTTTTGGAATTTCCGAGTGTTAGATGGAAAATTCGAATAATCCATGTTTGACTCAATAAAGAGTATTTTTTGTGGTTTTTAAAAACTCTGTAATATGAGCAATAATGAGCAAAATGAGGTTTAAGATTTTTAAAAATTGAATAAGATTATATTGCACCTTATTACAAACTTTGGAAGAGTTTCGTCGATTTTATGTCAAGATATAGATTTTTGAAGGGTTCGACCGTACCCCTTTTTTTGAGCCACAGTATCTCGAAAACGGCTTGAGTGATGATATTCGGTTTTTTTTTCAAAAAATCCTAAAAAATCGTGTTCTACAACATGTTTGATTTAGAGAAAGTTTCACCCTAACGCTCATTTTTTTTCAACTCACCCTACGGCGTTACCACACATGTGAACGATGAAAAAATACAAGTTTAACAATTAAAAAAACTAGCAAAATCGTGATCAGCATACATTCATACATCTACTGTGGCCCAAAAAATTATTTTCCTTAAAACTCATCCCAACGGCCTGAAACTTGGCCAGATCATAAAAACTCCCTTTATAATGTGGAATAACATTGAAAAACAGATCGATTTTTCCGATTTTGGGGGAGTACGGGGGGTACGCAAACCGTCAAGTGATAACACTTTGAAACACTGTAACTTGGTCAAAAAACGTCCGGAAGGTTGGAAATTTGGAGGATATACCTTATTCAGAGTTAACTCAAGATCAATATTGATTTTGAGCCAAAAAAATTCAAAAATTTCAAAAATATCCCTTCCCGGTGGTCCAAAAAAATCTATTTTCCTTAAAAACTCATCCAGAAGGTCTGAAACTCTGCCAGATCATAAAAACTCGATTCATAATGTAGGATAACATTGAAAAACAGATCGATTTTTCGGATTTCGGGGGTCTACGCTAAAAAGTTGAAATATTTCTGTTTTGCAGTGTTGACACCTAGCTGAATATACTTCCAAAAGCCCGCGAAATAAGATAATAGTCTCATTCAATTCTTATATTAACTTTAATAATCATTTCACATTGATAGTCATCCGCGGGGGGGTACGTACTTTTTCGAGGGGAGTACGTACTTTTTCAAGGGGGGTACGTGATGACGTCACAAAAAGTAGTTGGTTAGCCCATGTATGATTTTGAAAATTTTATAAAGCCGGCGGTGAATCAACTATGTAAATCATCAAATTTTAACCCTCTGTTTTGTCTTTTTTTTCTCCAAGACACGTGAAATCCAATCGATCCTGTCATTCTTACCCCCATAATATTTGAAACAGCAATTTCATGTTTTTTTATAGTTTTTTTTATGATTTCAGAACATTCGCGACCCTTACCTTTGCTGAGCCGGAACGTTGCGAAACCAATTGCGAGAAAGGTGATTTTTTTGGTTGATTATTGATTTTTTTATTGATTTTTGTTGGTAAAATGTCACTTTTTTTCCAGTATTTGTATCAATTTTAAGCGTGAATAGAGCTTTTTTTCCCTATTTTTTTCAAGAAAAATTCGGTTATTTTTTTGGCAAGAAATTGAATGGGAGTATGGTGAGAAGGCTGGAAAATAACTGAAAAATTTTCTGGAGCTCGGAAAAAAAAAAATGAAAATGCCTAAAAATTGCCTCAAAACTTCAATTTCTCTTCTGAAGACGATTTTTTTTAAATTTTAAGGGTTTTTTTCTGCCTTTTTTTCATGTGTTTTTTTATTTGCAATTTTCACAATTATCAATAAAAAAATTTTTTTCCCGAAACTTGATTTTTTTGAACTATAATACTAATTTTTTTGAAAAAAATGTACATTTTTTTCAGTTTTTTTACACTCAAAAAAAGTGCTTTTTCCTTCGTTTTTTTCGTGAAAAAAATTAGCGATTATTGTGAAGAAGGTGTTTGAAATGAGGCTAGAAGGTTGAAGAATAAATGAAAAAAATAACCTGGAGCTTTAAAAAAAGTCTCAAAACTTGAATTTTTTTCTCTAAAAAATTGGGATTTTTTTGGCGATTTTTTTGTATTTTGGAGGATTTTTCTGGTTTTTTTCATGTGTATTTTATTCGAAATATTCAGATTTATCAATAAAATTTGTTCTTGAAACATGATTTTTTTGAACTAAAAAAATCTTAATCTTTCAAAAAAAGTATATAAATTGAAGTTTTTTTGGATTCAAATGCATAGAAAAAGTTGAAATTTTTTTAATTTTTTTCTGAAAAGTTTTTTTATTTTTGTTCAAATTAGGAAAAATTTAGCATGAAACTGAAGCTCTCATAATCCTTCAAAACTCGAAAAAACAATGATAATCGATCAAATTTCAGTAAAAGAAGACCCCCCAATCCTGATGAAGTCTCAACCTCACGCCCATTCTCACGGAATCCGATCGATAACCTTCGTTTTGGCCCTCGGAATCCACTCGATAATAGAAGGGATTGCTTTTGGTGTTATGGTTGGTTTTATCGATCCCTAGGGAGAAATCCGGGCAAGGTGGCCCGGCTGCGAAGAAGTTCGCCCTTTTTTGTCCTTTTTTTTACTTGTCAGTTTATAGTTTCTGGCAGGGCGGGCCGACCCGGGCCAGAGTCCCCTTTTTTACGGAAAGCCCGCTCTTTTTTTGATTTGATAGAAAATATTCAGACAGGGCGGGCCAACCCGGCAACGAAAAAGCCCGCCCTTTTTCATCCTTAAGTAAACTTGTAATTTTAAGTTCATAGTTTCTGCCAGGGCGGGCCAACCCGTGCCTGATCCCCAATTTTTGCAAAAAGCCCGCACTTTTTTGTCCCTTTTTACTCGTAAATTGATAGTTTCGGTCAGGGCGGGTTGACCTGGCCCTGAGCTTTATTTTTTGTAGAAATGTCCACCCTTTTTTGTCCTTATTCAAATTTTTACTTGTCAGTTCATAGTTTCTGTCGAATTTTGAGTGAAAAAATGGCCGAAAACGTGATTTTTCAAGTAAAAAGGCCTTTTTAACTTGAAGAAAACGCGCTCTTATCGGGCTGACCCCGGGTCGGCTCCCGTAAAGCCCGTAAAAACCCCGAATCCATAGATTCTGTTGAACTTCAAGTGAAGAAAGAACACAACAATTGATTTTTCTCGTAAAAAAGTTAATTAAAATTCGCACGAATCGGGCTGGCCCCGGGAGCTAACGGGCCAGCCCTCGGACAATCCGGACAAATCCCGATATCATAGATTCTGGTGAACTTCAAGTAAAGAAAGAACACAACCCATGGTTTTTCTCGTAAAAAATTGTTCAGCCTACTGAAAATGTGCTTTTATCGGGCTGACCCCGGGAGCTAAAGCCCTCGTTTAAGCCCTCGTAAAGCCCGGACAAATCCCGATATCATAGATTCTGTTGAACTTTAAGTGAAGAAAGAACACAACACTTGGTTTTTCTCGTAAAAAAGAAGGATATGGGGCTTGAAGAAAATCAATGCTCATTGGGCCGCCCCCGGGAGCTAACGGGCCGGCCCTCGGACAACCCTGAAAAAGAAACCGAATTTTCAGACGAATAAAACGGAAACCACAGCCCTTTTTATCTCACTCATGGTCCACAAACTGATCGTCGCATTTTCCGTTGGCCTTCAATTGGCCCGAACTCACGCTCATCAGTTGAAATGGGTGAGTTTTCTATTTATCGATTGCTCGGGACAAAAAAAAAAAATCGATTTTTGCACCCGAGTGATGACCATTTTGGATGTTGTTCCAAGCTGAAAAATGTGGAAAAATCGAAAATTTTTGATGTTTTTTTCAGTATTTTCTGAAGAAAAACGGAAAAATCTGAAATTTGAATGCGAAAATTTAGTTTTCCACCTTTTTCAGTGAGTACATGAAGCTTTGGATTTTTGAGTAAAAAAAGTTTTTTTTATACGTAATTCTTTGTTTTTTTAATTCTACCTGTAGAATTTCTTCATTTTGGTCCTGGAAATTGAAAAATTTTTGAATAATTCATCATTTAATCTTATACAAATCCGATTAGAATTTTATTTTTTTTGAGATGTTTTTTTGAAAAAAAGAAGAGTAATTTGGATGGATTCTTTCTTTTTTTTTTGATCAATAAAATTTTGGCCAAGGTTTGACGATCCCCCATATGCTTTTTGTTCTGCTCTCGTTGATTTGAAAATGATAAATTGATCATTTTTTCTTCCTCAGGTGATATTTTCGATCCTGACCCTGGCCCTGATGACTCCGCTCGGAGCTCTAGTCGGCATGGCCGTGGCGGGAGTTGGGGACGACATCGAGGGCAAGAACGCCCTCTGGAAGGACGCCACCATCACGATCCTGCAGGGCCTCGCCGTCGGCACCTTCCTCTATGTCACCTTCTTCGAGGTAAATCGGGAAATTAACAAATCTTTTAGGTTTTCTAACTAGTAAAATGTTTTTAAAGAAGCTAATTTTAATGAAAATCTCAAAAAATTGGCTTATTAGTTCCATTTTTCCCCTCTAAGGGAAGCTTCATTGTAGCGATTCTCTAGATTTAACGAAGAATTTTAGAAAATTGGCTCAAAAATTAGTAAAAACCCATCTTATCCACCTCGGGAAGATTTTATGGGTATCTTGACAGCTTGTCACGTTTTTGTCTTTTTTTTTCGAGTATAAATCAGAAACTTGTATTTTTCCTTGTGGAAATCTATCCAACAGGGCTTAACAGAAACTTGGCTCCGAACTTTTGAACCGCCTCCGGAAGCGGTTATAGGAAGTTTGATGGATTGTCACGTTTTTGTCTTTTTTTTTGAGCTAGATAGAGAACTTTCATTTTTCCTTGTGGGAATCTGTTCAACGGGGCTCGATTTAACAGAGAAAATTAAAGAAATTTGGCTCCAAAATTCGAAAAAAAAAAGCTTGGGAAGCTTTTTTAGGAAATTTAACAGCTTGTCACGTTTTTGTCTTTGTGTCACCTTTTTCCGAAAGATCAACAAAACTGTATATTTCATCAACCTAGTGAGAATTTGATCAACGGGGCTCAATTTATCAAAAAGAATCAGAAAATTTATAAAATCGCCCAGTCCGCCTCGGAAGGTTTTTATGAAGAAATTCACGACAGTTTCTTTTTTTCCAGCGAAAATTTGGCGTATATTCCATTTTGAGGAATTTTGCAGTTTTTTTTTTGGGTCTCGAAGTGAAAGTGCAATAAATAGGAAACATCTCCTATAGGGCAAAAGGAAATAGACCCTATAGGGGCCGATAAAGTGTTCCCTATAGTGATAAAATCAAGGTGCTCGTCATAGGGGTTAATGGTCTGACCCCTTAGTCCCTAAAGCTTAAGTGGACCCTATAGGGGTTTTCAAATTTCATTCCGAAAGCGTTTATGGATTTAGTTCTTCGCATAGAGTTTATAAAAGTTAACGACTAGCATGTCCCCTACAGGAATCACCAACTAAAACACCTATAGGGACCACTTTTGCATGCTTTAGTGGTCCCTGTAAGGGTTATTAAAGTCGTCCCTAGAGGGGCCCTTCAAGGGCTTGCCAAAGAGGTTCTCTCAGAAAACAGTTTTTGGGTATCTTTTTATTGAGGGTTGTCTGGAGCCTTTTCTACCCTTTCCGACGTTGCCTATGATGTCATGAAATTTTAAATCCCTCAATTTTTCAGGTCCTCCTGCACGAAAGGGACAACGAACACCCGAACCTGCTCAAGCTTTTCGTCATGTTCGTCGGCTTTTCCATAATCGGCGGCCTGCGACTTCTCGACGGCCACGAACACAGCCATTCCCACGCCCAACATTGACCCTTTTCACCCAATTTCTAGTTTTAATTCAATTATGTTGATTGGCGGGTATTTCCAAGCTTTCAGTTTGATTTTGTTACTCTTGCTTGTTTTTTCCCCATCCGCGGTGAAAGTTTTATGCTTTTTTTCTTTGCGCACTCATCTAATTCAATGCATTTTCGCGTTCTCTTACGGTTGATTGTTGTTTTACTCAGACAAAAAGAAACGAAACAGTATTTACCCGATTGAATTTCATGTTTTTCGTCTCCTTTATTGCTCCAGTTATCCATTTATTCACACGAAAAAGCATATCATGTATAATCCACGCCCAGAATTTCAGTTTCATAGGTGATTTCCTCGCTTTCCCAGTCGAATCAAAAAAAAAAGAAATCTTAGTTCTATTCAATTGTGAAGCTTTCCTACGTGTTCAATAAAGTCGTTAGCCACGAGATCTTTTCCCATTTCTAATTATTTTTACTCGTTGACAATAAATAATCCACTGAGATGGCAAAGACGACCCCAGAAAAACCGAAATTGTCCAAGCCGAGAGTGTAAGTTGCGCTCCGTGGCGAAGAGCGCCAGTTTCAAATTCTTGGCGCGTTTTTGAAAATTTGTGTTTTTTTTTTGGTGTTTTCTGTGTTTTTTTGTTCTTTCGGATTATTAGGCCTTTTCAGAACAGTTATATCCTTCTCAGTACCTTATTGATGCATTTAGAGGTGTTTTCTTTCATTTTGAAAACTTTTTCCTTTCAAAATTCCATTTTTATTACTCAATATCATTTGAGGATTGCTTTTCACAGAGATTTATTGTTATAAAAGTGATTCTTGGGTTCTTTATTATTCAGGAAATGTATCAGAATAACTAAAACTTCATGAAATATCTTCAATTTTCAAAAAAATCGTCATTTTCCAGAAAAAAAAGACCAAATTTATAATGCTGCCGAATTTTGGATTTATTTAGTGTTTGAAAAAGTTCCTCGTAGTGTTTTTTTATTTTATTTTTTTCTATTATAAGATTTTTCTCTCCCAAGTTTTATTTTTTTCAGCTTTCAACTCTGAGAAAGATATTTGCATTTTTTCAAGGTTTTCTTCAAATTTTCCAAAATTCAGCTCTTATTTCTGCTTTTAAGTCGCCTATTTTTGATAATTCTTTGTCTTCTTTTAATTTAATATTCAATTTTTTCGTGTAAAGTTCCTTTTCAAAAGAAAAACGTTCAAAAATCTTTAAAGATAGTTTTTTTTGACTTTGCTCGCGAGGTTACGTTTTTTCGTTATTTTAAATATTTCACGGTTGATTTTCCTTTTGCAAATGGGAAATATATATATTAGTAAGCTATAGAAAATAAAATATATTGATAAGGTTCTTATTTTCATTAAAATAAAGCGGATTTCAGCCGAATGGCTCCCATCCGCCAGGAGCTTTCCAAAGAAGAACGCGTAAAACGAGTGGCAGCGGCTAGACAAGCATATAGGTCAGTTTCCGCGGCGAAATCTCGAATTTTATCAAGATTTTCAGTAAAATCAGTCGGGCGACGAAAGCGAGTTCCAGAGTGGCCGCGAAAAAAGCTGAAACTTCTGCGCTTTTGAGCCAGAAAAATGAAGAGTTGGTTTTTTTTTTTGAGGCATTCTAGATAATTTTTCTCGTTTGTTTAGATGTGTTTCTTGAAAAAGGTAACCAGAATTGAAAAAAGTGAAAAAATTTGATGAGAATAGGCCAAAAATCAAAAAAATCGCATTTTTGGAAAGGGAAAAAGTAAATTTACGCTTTTTTTTGGAACTTTCTCTCCTTTTTGGAGGTATAGGTGATTCACGGCACTCTTTCTGCGCTCTCCACTAACCAAGCACTCTCTTTCATTTTCGTGCCAAGACTCATTTTTCGATGGCTCAAGCCAGCTAGCTTCAGGACCTTTTTGATAGCTGATTCACGGCCAGCTTGGGACGCTAAGGGCGGTGTCCTGTCTGCGCTCTCCACTAACCAAGCACTCTCTATTTTATTTTCGTGACAAGACCCATTTTCCGATGGCTCAAGCCAGCCAGCTTCAGGATCTCTTTCATAGCTGATTCACGGTCAGCTTGGGACGCTAAGGGCGGTGTCCTGTCTGCGCTCTCCACTAACCAAGCACTCTCTATTTTATTTTCGTGACAAGACCCATTTTCCGATGGCTCAAGCCAGCCAGCTTCAGGATCTCTTTCATAGCTGATTCACGGTCAGCTTGGGACGCTAAGGGCGGTGTCCTGTCTGCGCTCTCCACTAACCAAGCACTCTCTATTTTATTTTCATGACAAGACCCATTTTCCGATGGCTCAAGCCAGCCAGCTTCAGGACCTTTTTGATAGCTGATTCACGGCCAGCTTGGGACGCTAAGGGCGGTGTCCTGTCGGCGCTCTCCACTAACCAAGCACTCTCTATTTTATTTTCGTGTCAAGACCCATTTTTCGATGGCTCAAGTCAGCCAGCTTCAGGATCTCTTTCAGAAAAAAACCCTTGCCCTTTAAATGAACATAATCTCCATTTTTGGTGTACTAACCCCTTTTTGAAGACCGGCCAAGGTACGGGAAGAACCGGAGTTCGTGCCGGACCCAGCCGCCTTGAAACTGATCAAATCCGACGTCCCGATCACTCGGGCGGCCCTCAACTTGGGAAAATCGATCTCGGCCAGACCTTCCATCATAGGCCGCCCTTCCGTCGTTGGCAGGCGTCTTCCGGACCGCCCACCGAGGAGCTCTTTCGCTGTGAGACCTGGTTTTCTTGTTTAAAGGCGCATGGTCATTTAAAATTTTTCGAATAAATGCATTTTTTTTTTCTTTTTCAAGTCTTTTGGGAAGTGAAATATGACCTTTGAGCTGTTAAAATCAGATTTACTTCGTGTTTTTTGAAAAAATTGCAATTTTCCCTTCGCGCCATAGGATTTCTTTACATAAAGGAGGTTACTATAAAATAATTTACCAAAAATTTTTTTAAGCCATTTTTTTCAAAATTTTTCAAAAATTTTTTTCGTCGTAATACTATAACTAGAAAAAAATATCACTAGAAATGTAAAAAAATTCATTCAGAATATGAAAAAAAGCAACTATTTGATCTGAGAATACAAAATTTAAATTTCGCGCCAAAAAAAAGGGTTTTCCAAAAGTTACCGTAATCCATTTAAAACCGATTTCAAAATTTTATCCCAATCGAGTCAGAAATTCATTTTGCAGCAAAGTTGCTCTACTGATAAAATCGTCATTTTTTGCTCCTAGAAAATTCACCGCCATGGAAACTTATGTATTTTCGAACATTGGCCACGAAATTGCGGAAAATTGGTATACAGTAATCCTTAGCGAAGTAAAAATTGTGTTTTTTTCAAAAAACGCGATGAAAATCTGATTTTAATGGTTCAAAATTCATATTTTACTGATCAAGTCACTTGGAAAATTTCTTCCTGATGAAAATTTTATTATTTTCAAAGTTTCAGCGGGCTTCGATGGCAGGCCCACGGCCCAGCGTCCTCCCGTTGGGCATAAATTTGTTCGAGGCAAATGACGCGGATCGGCTCAGGGTAATATATCAATCAATAAATCGATATGATTTTTTTTTTCACAATTTTTTCAATTCCTAGTGTTCTCTGATGTACTGAAAAAAGTACTGAAATTTGGAAAAAAGTTATTTTTTTTTTTTTTTGCTTGTTCTAGTAAACATAGTGAAAAGACCCTATAGGGGATCTAAAAATGCTCCTTTTAGGGCTAAAATTGAGGTGGTCCTTATAGGGGCTTAGAATCGGACTCTTTTCCTCTGAAATTTCCTAAAATTTTCCCTAAAGGCACCCCTAACTTAAATCTTTTTTTCAATCTTTAGTGGTCCTTTTAGGGGCGAAGAGGAGGGGGTGAAGTGGCCCCTAGAGTGGCAACTTTGAAGGAAAATTTTGAAATGCTTCTCCTCATAGAGTTCAGAAAATGGATCGATTAGCATGTCCCCTGTAGGGGCCACTTTTGCAAGCTTCAGTGGCCCCTATAGGGGGAGATAAAGTGCTCCCTTGAGGGGAACCTTCAAGGGCTCCTAAGGTTAATAATAATATTTATTTACAGGCAGAACATAAAAAAATGTACAAGAATGATTTTGAAAAGAAAAAAATTTGCCCCTATAGGGATACCTTAAAGAAATTAGATGAGCTTTTGGCACCAAAAAAAGTATTTTTTCAACGTTTTTTTCGAATTTTTCGTACATCGTTCCACTATAGAACCAACAAAAGTCGATACTTTTTGATCATTTTGAAATTTGAAGGCCCGCGAGTTCATCGTGAGCAATTTGGCCCCGGGCCGGAAAACCTCGACGACGGAGGAACAGGCCTCGACTTCGTTGACCGTCGGCAATCCGCTGACGCCAAGTCGAGCCACTGGCGGACTTTTTTCTGGGGTATTTTTTGATTTTTAGCTATCTGAAGAGCTCAAATGTCCTCTTGAATATTATTTTTTGAAAAACGAGCTTTTTGAAGAGTTTTCATGAATCTTGTTCGTTTTTTTTTTCCAAAATTTTCCTTTTTTGTCATTTTTGAAAAGGTCCATGAAACAGGCTTCACGAAAATTTGGCGAAAACCTCTTTTCAGAAAATTTTTTTGGCAAAAAATTGACTTTTTCCAATTTTTAATGCTCGATAGTCATAGGGGTTTTTTCACTTTTTTTTCAAGAGTTTTAGTGGTCACTTTAGGGTTTTTGACGTTCTAGTGGTCACTATAGTAGTCGAATTAGAGGCGAAAAATCAGGGGCCTCTTAAGAAGTCTGACTGGTGCTATTAGACTACTTAACACTACTATAGTGGCCACTAAGAGGATTCTATTGAGTGACCACTTGAGTGTCCTCTCCAAGCAGCCCTTGAGGAACCTCTTAAGTGGCCAATAGAAGTTTTCCGAAGTTCTTTGATAAAAATCCGAATCGAAAAAAAAGTTAGAAGTTGTACTATAGATTATTTTTTAGTTCAGGGATCGTTCTCTTGGAAAATTTCTGGTGGCCACTTTAGGGTTTAGGCCTTCTAGGGATCACCATAGTAGTTGAAATAGTGGCCACTTGAGTGGTTGAAATTTAGTGGCCTCTTTAGAAATCTGTCTGGTGCTACTGGGCCACAAAAAACTATAGTGGCCACCAAGAAGCTTCTATTGAATGTCCTCTCCGAGGAGTCCTTGAGGAACCTCTTAAGTGGTCACTAGAATTTTTCAAAGTTAAAATTTGTAGTTTAAATTTAAAAAATGGTTTTTCCGCTTAAAAACTGTCCAAAAAGGGTTTTTTTAGCAAGTTTTTTTTTTCTCTTTTGTATGTTTTTATAGCAATATTGTGTGGCTTTTTGAACACTAAGTTTTGTATTTCCTCATTTTTTTCAATTTTCCTTGATTTTCATCAGTTTTGAGACTTTCTATCGGCGGCATTGTGTAGGAAAACACATCAAAAACGAAAAAATCCATTATTTTGCTGCCTTTTTTCAACTTCGAAATGGTTTAGTTGGCCTCGAGCCGCCGAAAAAAGACGATCCGATTCCAAGACAGCGTGATAATGGAGCAGCGAGAGTCTGTGGACATTGAGGAGGTTGCAGAGATATTATAAATATCGACTTTTTTTATATTCAGTTGGGCGACGTGAAGGCGTTACACTTGAAATTTTGCAACGAGCTCGAAAGAGAATCCCTGGGACTCGCCTCGAGAGAAGGTTGAGCGATTTTATCGATTTTAATGATTTATTGATTGATTTATCGATTTATTGATTGATTTATTCGTCGATTTATTGATTGTTTTATCGATTGATTGATTTATCGATTTATTGATTGATTTATTGATTTATTGATTGATTTATCGATTTATTGATTGATTTATCGATTTATTGATTGATTTATCGATTGATTGATTCGTCGATTTATTGATTGTTTTATCGATTGATTGATTTATCGATTTATTGATTGATTTATTGATTTATTGATTTATTGATTGATTTATCGATTTATTGATTGATTTATCGATTTGTTGATTGATTTATCGATTGATTGATTCGTCGATTTATTGATTGATTTATCGATTTATTGATTGATTTATCGATTGATTGATTCGTCGATTTATTGATTGATTGATTTTTCCAGCAACCCCAAAAAGATTCAAATCGGCCACCGAACCCGAAATCGTCCCCCGCTCGATTCTATCCAAAAAAGGAAATTCAAAGGTTCAGAAAGAAAAAAAATCGATAATTTAATTTATTGATTTTTTCAGCAGAATTTGGTTTTCCCGGAAGACGAGAACCTCCCGCCGGCTGGCGATCAGAAAGCCGCTCTTCAATTTGAGGATGTTTTCAGGTATTTTCAGGGGAAAACGCGCAAGTCGTTTTAAGGTCGGGCGCACTTTCAGAGTGACCTCCTTTTATCGATTTTCGACTGATAAAATTTTTGTATGGAGTCAAATATTTCTGGTCGCATGTAGAATGGCTCAGAGCGCTGCGGTCGGGATGTTTTAATGCAAAAAGGCGCAAGTCGCTTTACGGTCGGGCGCACTTTCGAAGTGATCGTTTTTCTCTTGATTTTCGGCTCATTAAAGTTATATATCGATTTGAAAGCTCTTAGAATGGCTCAGAGCGCTACCGCCGAGAGCTTTTGAATGCGAAAGGGCAGAAGTCGCTTCAAGGTCGTTCGCAATTTTAGATTGACCGATCTTCCTTTGATTTTTGGCTTTAAAAATTGTGGTATCGATTTGAAGATTCGTGGTCGCATGTAGAATGACTAAAAGCGCTGCTAAGACTTTTCCATGCAAAAGTGCGGAACTCGCTTTAAAGTCGGGCGCACTTTCAATGTGACCGTTTTTCTCTTGATTTTCGGCTCATATAAAAGTGGTATCGACTTGAAAAGCCCTAGAACGGCTACTAAGGCTTTATAATGTTAAAGTGCGTAACTCACTCACGGTCGGGCGCCCTTTCGAAGTGACCGCTTGGCAGGCGAGCCATTCCCAGTGCGGTCAGGGAAAAAATACTTGAAGGAGATTTTTTTGATTGTCTTTTTCTGCATGTTTCCTTTTCCAAGAGTTGAAAATCTTCTGCTTGCTTTCCCATTCTCACCATCATTCAATTTGAAAAAGCTCAAGGAATGAAATTTTTGGGCGAAAAAATGATTTGTACCCGACTAAAAACGTACATTCCCCCTTGTTTTTTTGGGTTTTATTAATTCCCAGAGATTTCTTTTGATTTTTTTATAGGAGGAAAAATTTGAAAAATTTGAATTTTCTGACAACAAGTGTTACTCATGGCAGATTGAGAGAGCTTCATGGATTTTTTTTTTGCTTTTCGAAAAAAATTAGGAATTTCATACATGGGCTAACCCACAAAGTTATTAATGATTTTAAGCTCAAAAGCTGTGAATTTTCGAAAATTATTTTCTTGGGAGAATTTTCTTAAAATGTTCCGAAAGGCTCAAAGTTCGGTGAGCACATGTAATCCATCCATTGGAAGCATTTTAAATAGAAATCAGATCGATTCATAACTTTTGGAGTTTTTTATGACGCGATTTCTACGGTTTCCCGCGGATTTATCGACCGCTCGGAGCGAGGATAAGAGATATTCGATCAATATACCACTCAATATAATCGAAAAAGCTCAATAAATATCATGGAGATGTTTCCAGCTGCTTAAAAAAAGCCAACTGAATGCATAGGGGGTACGAAAGTGATACATTTCCCTCGATTTTTGAATTATTCTCTGTAATAAACCTTATAATGTTACAGCTACGTGATGGCGATGAAAGCCGACGAGGGAAACGCGGAAAAAATCGAGGCGATGGCCTTCCATCTCAATTCTTTGTCGAATAAAAGGTCCTACTAGCTTTGTATTTTCTTCCTTGTTTTTTTTTTTCGAAATTGTGACCATAAATGGGCAGACCATTTTTAAAGACCGTCGACCCTCTCAAATTATTTGAATTCAAGTAAATACTACCTCCCCGAGGCTAGAACTTGTACTATTAAGGTTGAAACTTTTTTTTTTCATTTCCCTGGTTTTTCAAAATTTTTGCAAGCCGGTTCCTCCTCTTCCTTGCTTGCCCATCTATGCTGAAGATCCTAGTAGCTTTCTTTTTTTCAGTTTGATGATCTTTTTCAGCCTAAAAAGCCCCAACTTTGAGTGGAATTTCTGAAAATCGGGCAGGAAAATGAGAACTTGGAGGCTTTTTCAGTTCTAAGTCTAGCCAGAGAAATTTTTGTCTTTAATTTTTTTTTCTCAATTTCGATCCCCATGCATGTAGTTCTATGTATTCTTTGATCTCAACCAGTTATTTTTGAATTTTTTTTTCCTTTTTTTTTGGTCAAGTTGGCGAAAAAATTACTCCGTATAGAGTAGAAAACTGGAATTTTTCCTTTTCAAACAATTTTTGTTAGAAACTTGAATTTTCAGCTCATTTGTAATCTAAATTTGTACTTTTTAAGTTTCTTTTTTTTTCTTTCTTCTTCTAGAGATTTGTCGTTTCAGAAGAGGATGAATAGATAAAACGAAGTGAAAATAGAGAATCTAAAAGATTCTTCCTAGTTCATTTTTGAGGTTTTTACATGATTTCATGATTTTTTTTTTCCAGTCAAAGTGCTCTGAACGAAACGATGACGTCAGATGATGACGAATTGCCGCCGATGAGAGCCGAGAAAAAACGAAAGAGCCAAGTTCAAATGGTTTTCAGAAATTCGGAAGAAAATTACTCATTTTTTAAATTTCCAGAAAAAGCAAGAGAGAAGAAGGTCGTTGAGGACACGTATGAAGGCGGAGGTTAGTTTTGAAGATTTGGGGGGCTTCTTAAGGATTTCATCTTAACTTTGATTTTTTTAGAAAAAAAGATTCGGAAAAAGCATTACTGAATGGCTTTAGATGATCCCTTAAGGGATTTCTTAGAAAGCAGACCCCTCAAGTTGTCACTTTCCGTTAATCCGAGAAGTTTTTTTAGTCTCCACATGATTTAATGTCGATAAACCTGAGTGGCCTGTCAGATGATCCCTCAAGGGGCCACTTAGAAAACAAATCCCTAAAGTTATCACTTTCTATTAATCCGAAGTAGTTTCCATATGATTTGAAGTCGATAAACCTGAGTAAGTGGCATTTTAGATGACCCCTCAAAGGGCCACTCAGAGAGGAACCCTTTTAAGTTATCACTTCCTGTTGAGCCGGCAAAAAGTTTCTTCAACGTCAATAGAAACTTGATAAAATTTAGGTGGCCTTTCAGATGATCCCTCAAGGGGCCGCTCAAAAAGCAGACCCCTTAAGTGGCCTCTTTCTCCTTTTTTTTCCTATCAAGTATCGGTTCTTCAAGCTCAAAGTCATATACCAATTGGAAATTACCCTCAGAAAGACCCTCGAAATCCCTTAAGTGGCCACTTCAAATAGGGCTTATTTGATTTCAAATTTATCTCTTAAGTGATCACTCAGCTGACGAACAGAAAATTCCTTAAGGGAAAAACGAGACATTTGGCGTCAAGTATGTTGTTTGCGTACCAAACGCTTCAATTGACGAGAATTTTTTTGATTTTTTTTTTTTAATTTTTAATTTCAGGACCGTTTCTCGCGCTCTTTGTTCCAGCCTTGAGCCATTTCTGCTCTACCTACGATTTCCTGATGAAAAAAACCCATGTAATTAATCACTCCACTTTGTCAAATTACCTCATTTACCTGTTTTCCATGCCTTACATCCGAACCGTGTCAATTAACCACACAAAAGCTGTGTATAAGTAAATTTTTCATCACTTATGAAAATATTTGCACTTTGTTTCACATTAATTGACATAGAAAATAACAGAAAAGCCTACAAGAATATTAAATATTAAGAAGATAAAACAATCAAGCAAAATTTGCGGACATTGAGAATCGATCATATCACATTCACCTTGCATTACGGGCGGCGTTCAAAGTTTGAGTGTTCACTTTAGGGAAATACCTCCTCTCGTGAACACTTTGAGCGCACTAACTGAAAAACTGAAATCGAAGGCAAAAGAAAAAGAAAAAGTGAAATTGAAATTAGTTGTGGCGGACGTCATTTTGGCATCGGAATGTGTCGGGAGGGAACACTTTAGGGTTCAGAGTTTCGAAATTGTACGAGCTGTAAGCATTTTCTGAGATCACAACTGTCGGAGAAGGCTTTCGAGAAGAAATTATTAATTATTAGGAAGAAGAAAAAAATGAGAAAAAAATAGCCGGGAAAAAGTGCGCTCCAATGCAAAATTGGATTTTTTAGGAAATTCTAGGGGTCTCTTAAGTGGCCACTAGAAACTGCAAAATGGTAATATTAAAAAAATTTTTTTAAAAAGTCTCGCGTCATAATTAGCCGTGGAGCGCGAATTCTCACAAGGCTGAATTTTTTTGTGAAATCTCAATGGAAAAAAATTCAAATTTCGCGCCCTAATTAGCCATCGAGCGCGATTGGTCCTAAAACTGGATTTTCTTAAACTTCTTTAGAAAAAATTCAAATTTCGCGCCATAATTAGCCGTAGAGCGCGTATTCATTCCAAGTTGAATTTTTCTGAAATCTCAATGGAAAAAATTCAAATTTCGCGCCATCATTATCCATAGGGCGCGAATTCTTTTAAGGCTGAATTTTTCTGAAACGTCACTGAAAAAATTCGAATTTCGCGCCATTATGAGCCGTAGAGCGCGTATTCATTCAACGGTGAATTTTTCTGAAACGTCAAAGCTAAAATTCAAATTTCGCGCCATAATAAGCCATGGAGCGCACATTCCCCCACTATTAGACAAAAACTCGATTTCGAGCCTTTTTCCGGGCCATTCGGGTTCACTTTACAATAATCAGGAGAAAAAGAAGATGATGAGAAATAGAATGGGGATGACGGAGAGGTCAGACGACGAGGAGATGGAGGAGACCATCATCATGTTGGGGTCGATGGACCGGGCGGAGAGGGACGCCGCGTGCTGTCCGCCGGTGTCGGTGGTCTCCGTTTCAGTGCCGTAGAGCACCAATTCCCATTTGATGAGCTCCGAGTCTGAAAAATCGACTTTTTCACTATTTTTCTTGTGACAAGGGAATCGTTATGGACCCGGGTCATATTTTGATGAAATTTTTTTTTCAAGACCTGATTAAAGGATACTTAGGAACGCCAGAGTGGCCCCTAGAGGGCTCCTTGAAGGCTACCCCTCTAGGGAACACTCTACCTCCCCCTATAGGGTCACTAACGCTTTTTTTCATTTCTCTTTTTTCAAAATGAAGAAGATCCGAACTTTTTTTCTTTCCTTAGGATTTTCGAGGTTCTTCCAGAGTTTGAAAGTCAAGTAGTCGCTCAAGCTCCGCCCCTAATGGCGCTATGAACCAATCCGAGCGTTTTTAAATGACGTCACTTGAAATTCAAAAACCGAAGAGATCATCACAGGCTTTTTGTTAGTGTAAAAAAAATGCAAAATAAAAAACACTGGTGGGCGGAGTCAAAACTTCCCACTTGACGTCATTCGGCAATATTTCGATAAATTATCGCTTGAAAAAGGATTTCGAAACGCGGATTTCGTACCAAAGTATTTCAATGCTCTCCTCAAAAAGATAATGACAAGTCCTACCGTCCCATCCATCGTTGTCGATCTCAAGAATCCAAAGCCCGGAAGCCTGTTCTCCCCAGCTGTGGGTCGTCATGAAAGCCCAGTCCGTGAATCCGCTGCGGCTCGTGTCTCTGGCTCGTTTCGTCAGAAGCGTCGACCGTGTTCCTGGAAAAATAACCCTCCTATTTATTTCTGAACAGGGCTAAAACGTTGAGAAAAATTTCTTGACGATGAAAATGAGTAAAAATTTGAAGACAACTCGGTCGTAATACGGAAACTTAGATAGGGTTTTCTGGTAATAAAATGAAATCTTGTGTACTTTTTGTGACTGATCTTGTGACCTCGAGAAACAAGTTGCTGAAAGAAACAAATATTAAAAAGATTTTCCCTGACGGCGCAATATTGACCGGCCGCTGTAGCATTGTCTACTACGTGGATCTGACCTTCTTTTTCTCAAAATTGATTTTTTTGATGCTGTCAGATTCTTCCAAATGCATAACTGATGGAATTTGGAGGTTATTTAGAGCAAAACTGATAATTTTTATATACATCTTTCATTTTTCACCGCGTTTTTGTTAGTGGAAGAATATGCGAAACTAAAAAAACGGTGAGCGGAGTCTAACTCTCCCACGGGACGTCATGAGAATGGCAGAGCTTTTTAAAGGCACAAGCCGCCATATTACCAGAGATCTTTGACACGAATTGAATTATCTCTACAAAAACGCAATTTTCTGCGCGAAAGCGGCGCGGTGCATGCACATGAAACACCACACTTTACGGAGAAAAAGTGGGCGTCGGTGAAAGAACGCCTTGAATGAATCAGATAATTATTTTTGCTCATAGAAAGATCCTCTGGCATACCTCTTTCAAGTCAAATTTGAAAATTTTAAGAAAGTACCTAAATGGAATTATTTTGTGACAATTTAAATTTAACCAGTACTTGAACTAATGGTACTAAAACCAAATTCGAACCCGAAGGAGAAGTGAGGAAAATCTGTATGTCGCCTCTCTTCGGCGCCTTTAAGGAAATGATGGCCTGGACGTGTTCGACGAAAGTCACACGTTCCCCTTGACGGCCCAGGTAACAGCCGTCAGTGTAGAGCTGCAGTTGGAGCCGATTTCCATGGGGAATCGTCCTGGAAAAAGGCAATCTCTGTTTTAATCTCCATAGATCAAAAGGAGGTTTTTCGTGAAATTTCTTGTAAATTTTGTTAAAAGACATCTCTCTCATCACATAAAACAAACGTTGACTCAACATTACAGTTGGTCGAGCGAAATTTGAGAAAAAAATAAAAGGCGAGGAGTAGAAAGCTACAGGGACTTTTGAAAGCACTAAAATAAAAGTTTTAAGATAAATGCACAAATGCAAAAAAAAAAACCAAGGTTATACTCCAATTTCAAGATGAAATTTGATTTTCAGCCTCTTTTTTGAAACAAACTTGTTCTTAAAAGTGAATTTTCGTAAGCCCTTTTTTCAAGAAATGGAGGTCATCAAATGAGACGGGCAGTACTCAATTTTAAATAATCTGGTTCATTTTCAATCAATCAATCAAATCATTTATTTTGTTGTTTTAGTCTGATGTAATCGACTAGGCGGTGAACAAGAACTTTAAAAGCTATAACGAACAACCGCCTTTGGCGAGCTAGAAGTCCAAACGTGTAGTCGAAAGAGTTGAAAGCATGGTCTTACGGTCCTTCGCCTCGTCCTTCTGCGCGTAGTCCATCCAGTTGCGCCTTGACGAGCTCAGAATGTAGCAGATCTTGTGCTGGAGCCCGGAGACCGTGCTCTAGGTGGAAGCCTCAGAATGAGAGCGACCACTTCGAGTGAAGATTTTACACGGAATCGACTACACGTTTGGACTTCTAGCTTTTCATAATATTTCTCACATTTCCTGAAAACGTACAGACTTTTAGTTCAAATAATCAGTCTCTTTTTGAAATGAACTCTCTTTAAAAGTTTTCTATCAAATTTTTTGAGAATCGACGGACTTGAATCTAGCGGGGTAGAACTGCCGACAGCGGTGCTGCTCATCGACTCGGCGCCAATTTTTCGCCATTTTGACCATCGCGCCGGCGTCCATGAGGCCGTATCTGCAACATCATCGATAGAAAAAGTCTTTTTTCAGAAGGTAAATTGGAATAAGTCTCACTATAGCTTTGGAAAATCATACCTAGGCTCAAAAACCTTCCTAGATGAGAAATAATTGGTTTCCTGTTACCAGTGGGACAGGATCTATATAAACCCTCCAAAAATTTTCTTAAACGCCAAAATTTTATAACTTTCACAGCCCCTAGCTCTTTCCATAGGCCTCTAGAGCAGCTTTTCAACAAAAATTCAGAACAAACGTGAAAAACTGCCTCTAGTGAGCCTAGTCTCATACGAAAGTCCCACTATGAGCTGAGAACCCTCCCTAAGTCAAAAATTGATAACCCATTATTTTTTATTTAGGAAGTGAAAATTGAGAGAAAAACGAACCCGAAAGAGTGGGAAACATTCCGGCCAACGCCGTTCGTCACCCAATCGCCGGCTCGCAGGTTTATCGGCTTTGCAGTTCTGATCACGATGTGCTGAAATAAAAAAACTTATATTTCTTGATAGAAAAATCCCCTACAAGATTTCTAAACTCGGTAAATTTTTTTAACAGGAAATGTAAATTTTTTTACCAGGAAATTTGGATTCTGGACTATTCTGAAGGTTCCTAATTTCAATTCAAAACTTAAAAACCAAGAGAAAACCCTCTGAGACCTCTAAATTTAGTCAAATGAAAAAAGTAAGACATATTTGAGCTAAAAAAACTTTTGTTCAAAAATCACCAGATCAAAAAGATCACTCTAGGTAGATGCTATAAAGATGAATGTATCTAAAAATCACCAAAAATTTCTTCTCGACCGTTTGATCATGATAGAGTTTCTAAAAAGTGACCGACTGGGAAAATTTTTAGTGGCCACTATAGGGTTTTGACGTTTTAGTGGCCACTAGAGTAGTCAAATTATTAGCCACTTAAGGAGTTGAAAATTAGTGGCCAATATAGAGGTCCAAGCGCTCTTACTAGACCACTAAAAAATTTAGTGGCCACTTTAGGGGTCAATGAATCAACATAACTGGTCCAATCTGTTTGTAGTAAAATTATCAGAATTAGTGGAAGGAATACTGGATGAAAAAATACTGAAGTGGCCACTAAAACGGAAAATAGTGTCCACTATAGAAGTGGGTTTAGTGGCCACTTAAGTGTCTTCTCCAAGTAGTCCTTGGCGATCCTCTATAGTGGCCACAATTTTTTTTCTATTTTTTTTTCAAGAAAAATTGACAAGAATGTATAGATCCCCAAAGGAGCACCTGTAAATCACGCCAGGTGAGGTTGGGATTGGCCTCCAGGGCGAGGGCAACAATTCCAGCGGCCAGGGGAGCCGAGGCCGAGGTCCCGGTATGCATATTCGTGCAGGCGTGGTGCAGATCCGTCGTCACGATCATTTTCTCGCCGGTCGCCCCGCTCGAGTAAGTGGTCGCTAGAGTGCTGCTGCACGCCTCGGAGTACCACGGAATGTTGCCGTTTTCCGTCGCTGAGGAGATCGAGAGAGTGTAGATGCTGAAAAGGGTAAAAATCATTGAATTTAGAAAATTCTATGCAAAAAGCCTTCAGAATTTGTAATGCCGTGTTCAATTTGATTCCGCGAAATGCAAAATGATCTCTGACTCTCCGAAATTTAGTGATCTTTTCCTTTCTCTAACGAGTATTTTGCATCAAATTGAACACGGCATGAAAAAAAATAATTTTTAAAAGTCCAAAAGTGTTAGAAAAAACTGCAAAACACAATTTCAAGACAACAGTATCTAATGAGACTGTTTTAGAATGCCTCAAATATCGAAAAAAAAAAATAATTAAACCTCTTCGAGAAATTATCCAATTTCTTCTATCAAAATCTAAAAAAACACCTTCGAATTTTTGCTTATAGGTACTTTCTATTAGATTTTACAAAAAAATTAACAACTTTCTATACAAAAAAATACAGAAACATTCGAAAAAGAAAAAACTAACATTAATAAATTTTCCGCAAAAATCTACAAACCTATTGGTATACCCGTCACAATTACACGAATCCGCATCTTTGCCTCCATTTCCAGACGCCCACACAAAGATACTACCCTGAAAAAAAAACTAAATGAAATTGAAAATGGAAAAAAAGATCGAAAATAAAAAATATTTTCGAAAAATGCAGTAAATTTGTGAATCTGCGCTCCAACGCTAACCGTAAAGTGGAGCGTCGTTTGTCATCATCGCCAATCGATAAAAATATTCTTTTTCGAATTTTATCAATTTTTTTGTTGTAATTGTCTAAATCATTGATTTCAAATGAAAAATTTTTTTCATTTCACCAGAAAAAAAGGTTAAACTGAAATATATGAATAAAATCGCAAAAATATATAGAAATTTTCGGTTTTTTTGCATGAATTAAGTGAGCACTGAAATTGATAATTCTTGTTAGAATTCACATTAAAACTGCCTTGATTTTAAGACTTTTTTGCGTTTTTATTCATCAAATCACATATATTTCAGCACCTTCCCCTTCCTTCCAGTCGTAATTCCTCGTTCAAAGGCGTTTTTCGTCAATTTAGCCGGTCCATCTACGGTTCTTCCGTCGTCATCCGGACCCCAAGATGCGCTGAAACAGTAATATTTGATGAAATGGGGAGAAAATATCGATTAGAACCTATAAATATCGATATAATCCGAATTATGGCCGACGGAGGCGGCTTCAACGGCGTCCGTGACATCGCCGTCAAGCATTCGGATCCCTAAAAAATGATATTTTTATTCAGAAAACTTCTAAATTCGTTTTCGACACTGAAAATTGTGAAAAATTTGAAAAATTTGAATTTTAAGTGGTCCTTGAGCTGAAATTTTCGAGATTTTGTGGATTTTCGAGCTATTTTTAATCGGAATTTCTGACTTATTGATCAATTTTCACTATAAACTAGCTTTTTTGAACTTCTATAGCCTTCCCAGTCCAATTTTCCAGAAATTAAAGCCGATTTTCACGAAAATCACCTCCAATATTCGCATTGTAGGCAATTCCAACAATGCAAAGGCTGTTGTTGAAAATGGCGGCCACTTCTCCGGCGCATCTGAGAAGAAAATATCATTGATAAAAATGTGAGGGCTTGCGATTTTTTGAATTTTCCTATCATTTCCCTATAGTGATCACTTGAAAATGCTTTTACAACTGGTCAAATTTTCTCAGAACGAAGGTTCTTTTTTACTTTTCAACAGGTGCCCTATGAACACATGAACGGAATGTAATGGTTTTTATAGCCCGTTCATGACTGACTTGGGACAGCGAACGGGCGGTTTCACTTTCACGGCGATGGTAGATCATGGCGGTCAAATATGCGCCTTTAATAAGAGCCTCATTTGGTGAATTATTTCTGTTTCTATTGAGTTTATTTTATGTTTACATTCATTTCATTGGTTTCAGATTTTCAATAAGAGAAAAAAAAAATAACTCATAAAATGGGGCTTTGATGAAAGGCGCATGGATAGTCGCCATGATCTACCGCCGCCACGAAAATCAAACCGCCCGTTCGCTGTCCCAAGCCAGCCGTGAACGGGCTATATTTTTAAATTTTCTCACGTTTCCCTGTAGTGATCACTTAGCGTTCTTTTTACAGTTGGTCAACTTTTCCCAGCACCGAATCTACACATATTCACGGCTGTAAAAGCTTTATAATAGCCTAAAAAAGGTCTTGATTTTTTCTCTTCAACTTCTCCCACTTATCCCTATAATGATCACTTGACATACCTTCAGTCGGTCAAAACAAACTCAAAACACTACAAGTATTAATGGATGTCTTTCATTGCCCATTGAAACTGGAATATCACCTTGTTCCATGTCGATTTTCATCGGAATATTCATAACGAGGCATCGGATCGTCGTCCCGGTCGTTCACGTCGTAGGACGCTCGTTGGTCCTGCAAATATTTTTGAAAAATGTTAACTCCACTCGACTATCTCAAAATAAAAGCTCTTGGTCGCATTTGGAATGATTTTTTATTTATTTATACCAATCAATCATATAGTCAATGTTTCCCGACTTGAAAGGCGTGGGAGGCGTGGCAAGGGGCGGGACGCGTAGCGTGTGCGTACGCGGTTCTTGGCACGTGTTCAATTCAACCGCTAGCGAGCATTCAGAGAGCTTATTTATTGCTCTTTTCACTTGTTTTTCAATTATTCATTGATTATGTTCATGTGTGCATCAAAAAAATAGAAGAAAAATACAGAAAAAAGAGCGGTGGCCGAGCTTTTTTTAAATAGTCGGCGGCGATTGAATTGAACTGGCGCCAAGAACCGCGTACGCACACGCTACGCGTCCCGCCCCTTGCCCCGCCTCCCTCGCCTTTCAAGTCGGGAAACATTGACTATATGATAATAGTCTGTGTGCCGCGACTTGAAATTTCACGGAACGACATTCCGCTGTTCCGCTGCGTGCGTTCGCGAAGCGTCTTTCGAATCTAGGTCACGCTTTTAATTTATTGTTATTGCTGTGGGAGCACAGGAAAGTAGAGTACGTTGAAAAAAGAAAAAAAAAAATTAAAAGCGCGACCAATGTTCGCAAAGGCGCGCAGCGGCACAGCGGAACGTCGTTTGATGAAATTCCAAGTCGTGGTACACAGGCTGTACATGGTACAGAATAGAGAAGAGGCTTTTTCTAGACGCGTCCGACTCGAAACGACTTGCGCGAAGCTTATAAAGTCGCGTGACGCCCTGAGCCATTCCAAATGCGACCAAAATGCTCTGAGTCTCGAAACTTCTGGATTTTCAGAAGCGCAGCACTTATAAGAAGATTCGTCAACTTGAAAAAAAACTTTTTTTTTGGATTTTTCAACTTTTTCTGTCACATTTTCATGTCAGATCTTGATATGAAGCTTCAAAATCGAAAAATTACATAATTAGGAGCAATATCGGGATGAGTCCTTTCCAGGCCGTCGTCCAGAATCGTCACGACGACTCCCTTTCCCGTGTATCCGAGGTCCCAGGCCTCCTTCACATTGTGGTCCATTTTCGTGAACCCCGTCGTGTCGGCTCGATTCTGAAGGGAGAAAAATCATTTATTTTGCATTCTTTTAGGAATCTGTGGCTTCTCTAATCTCTCTTCGTTTCCCTGCTATTTTCATATTAAAAGGCGAGAGAGAAGAGAGCGCAGAGAGGTCAGATTGTTCCGATTCGCGGATGATAGGTTCATATAGGGTATAGTCCGCTTTTTGAAAATCTCCTTGTCTCTCGGCGACCCTCTCATGTTTCCATGCTATTTTCACGTTCCTATGGCCTCTCAGGCGAGAGAAAAGAGAGCGTAGAGAGGTCAGATTGTTTCAGTTTGAGGATGATAGGCTCATATAGGATATTGTCCGTTTTTTGCGACTCTCCTCGTTTCTCGACAGCCCTCTCATCTTTCCATGCTATTTCATGTTTCTATGGCCTCTCAGGCGAGAGAAAAGAGAGCGTAGAGAGGTCAGATTGTTTCAGTTTGAGGATGATAGGCTCATATAGGATATTGTCCGTTTTTTGCGACTCTCCTCGTTTCTCGACAGCCCTCTCATCTTTCCATGCTATTTCATGTTTCTATAACCCCGCAGGCGAGAGAGAAGAGGGCACGGACAGGTCAGAATAGCTCAATTCTTGAGTAAGGAATTTTTTCGAATTTTCTTTTTTTGTCAAAATTTTCAGGCCAAAATGAAATTTCCTCATTTCTCTGCACTCTCTCATTTTAATAGGGTCTATGACTCCTTTTAGTGAGAGAAAAGAGAGCGCAGACCTGTTAGAAAAGCTCAGTTTCTTTGGAATTTAACGAAAAGACAGAGTAATGATGTATTTATACGAGCCAGCTGAAACTTATTTCTAAGAGGTATATTTTTTTCAACTTGAAAAAGTTCATTTTAAACATTTCAACAGAGAAAAAAATCCTATATGAGTTTTTAAAAAAATTACTTTTTTTTGAAATTTTTAGTGGGAAATTTTTTTCTCGTGTACTTATGGTCAGACTTTCCAGTACGTTTGTTTTAATTTATCCATTTTTTGGCATTTTCTGCACATTTTTCTAGATTTTTCGAGTCAAAATAAAAAGTCCTTATTTCTCTGCACCCTCTCATTTTAATAGAGTCTATGACTCCTCCCAGTGAGAGAAAAGAGGGCGCAGACAGGTCAGAGGTGGTCCAAAACTCACCAAATACCACATGTCGGTCCACAATGGGTCATTGGGATCGGGATGTTTCCGGTTTCGCGATTTGCTCACCATCGCACCCTCATCTTCCAGTATTTGATTGCTCTGGAAAAAAAAGGATAATTTTTTCCAAAATCTGATTTTTGAAGATCGGAGATCCAGAAATGAGTTTCTGTTAAAAAAAAACATCCTTTTCATGGTTTTCCTCTCAAAAAGTGGTCACTAGAGGGGTTAGGGAAAAAAGCCCCTATAGGGGACAAAATAGGGCTTCCTAGAGCCCCTATACGACGTTTCGGGTATGCCCTCTAGGTCCCTAAAGCTCAAGTGGTCCCTATAGTGATCTTCACGTTTTTTGCTTCATTTGAAAGTTGAAAAGACTCCCCTAAAGGGACCACTTTTGCAAGCTTCCGTAACCCATAAAAAGTAGGTAAGGTGAGAGTGGAACCTCCAAGTGCGCCTATTATTACCCCTCTAGGGACCACTCTGGCTTACCTAAATAGGAGCTTTCTTCCCTTATCCCTCAAGTTTACAAAAAAGTGCTCCCTAGAGGGGTAAAATCGGTGGTCCCTATAGGGATGACCTCTAGGCTCCTAAAGCTTAAGGGGTCCCTACAGTGGTCTCCAAGGTTTTGTCTTCTTTAAGACTCCCAAAGGGGGCCACTTCCGCAAGCTTTAGCACCCCTATAGGGGAAGCTAAAGTGGTCCCTCAAGTGGACCCTTCAAGTGCCCCTAAGATCGCCCCTCTAGGGACCAAATTGGCGTTCCTAAGCACGAGCTTTCTTCCCTTATCCCTCAAGTGGAACCTTCAAGTGCCCCTATGATCGCCGTCCCCCGCCCTAAGAAGCTGAGGCGATCCCTCAAGTGGACCCTTTAAGTTCCCCTCTAGGGACCACTCTGCCTTTCTTCAGTAAAAGTTTTTCCACCCCAAAAAAAAAGTCAACAAACATCAGTATTTCTGGTCTTCCTGTACCCTCTCTTCACACGCCGCTTCACAACTTGCTGCTCAATCCAAAGCACCTGGAAAACTGGTCGCATTTTAAATACATTCGGACACTGCAAGACCTCGGCGTCGTGCTGTAAATGGTTGGCCTGTAAACTTCGCGATTTTCGCGACGACCTCGCCCGGCCCTGTTGATTTCGAAACAAATAATAATCTTCACCCGGAATGATCTGGAAAAAAAATCAATATTTTTTCGTTTTTAAACGGCTTTTTCCAGTTGAAAATTATCAGTTCAAATTCGCTCCAACGAACTTATTCCCTATTGGCAGGCCACGCCCATTTTTTGACTCAACGATCTAATGAAAAATGTACAGAAACTTTTTGAAATGAAAAATAGAGGAATTACTCGAAAATCTCAAGTGATAACTTAAGGAGGAACAAAAGAGATGACTTGAACTGAACGAAGTGGCGACTTGAGTGTTATTTCGAAAAAGACTTTTTTTCTGGTTTCCCGCATAAAAATGTAGTAAAAATTGTAATTAAAAAAACTGAAGGTCTCTAAAAACCTCAAGTGGTCACTTAAGAAGAAGCCAAGACTTACAGGAAACCCAAAAGAGAAAGAATCAAGTGGCCACTTGAGTGAAATTTTGAAAAATACTCTTTTCCTGTTTTTCCGCTTGAATTTGCAGTAAAAATTGATTCGATCCTGATTTAAAAAAATTGGAGGTCTCTTGAAATCTAAAGTGGTCACTTAAGAAGAAGCCAAGACATACTGGAAACCCAAAAGATATTGAACCAAGTGGCCCCTTAAGAGATATTTGTAAAAAAAGACTCTTTTCTGGTTTTCCAACATAAAAATGCATCAAAAGTCGATTCGGTTCTGATTTTAAAAAAATTAACCCCTTGAGTGACTCCTTGGAATCCTCAAGGGTCCACTCAAGCAATAACTTCAATCTTAAACCTCAAAAGAACTTTTCAATGCACCCTAGGAAGGTAATTTTTGAAAGAAAGTCCTTAAGTGATCACTCAAGTTCTCTTGACTTTTCTGAGTGCCCTCTAGAGTTTTTCTTATGAAAAAATGTGAAATCGACAAAAAATACATTTTTTTTCTCTATTTTTTGAATATTCTTGGAACCCAAAGGGGCGTGGCCTGTCTAGGCTCCACACCAACCATTCAAATCGTTTCGAGACCCGTTTTTCGATGGCTCAAGTCAGAATGCGGATAAATACAAGAAACTAGATAGAAGGAGAAGAAAAAGTAGAAACTCACAACGCCCATATTAGTGTACCCGTACTTCTGAGCGAGGCGATCGGCGTCTTTCGCCTGGCCGCCGGCGATCCGAACGGCCCATTCGTTGGCGTACGAGCGCCGGAACGACGTCGCTAGTGAGGATTGCGTTTGCGACGCCTGTATTTATCATTGTTATGTTGATATTTCATCGATTTCGCGAAAGCTTGTCACCGTTTTCATTAACCCCCCACCCTGAATTTCAGGACGAACTTCGCTTCAGTGTGTTTTATCTGCCTCTTTGTTTCGCATGCGCCTTTAATAACCTGCCTTTGATTCGGCCCAAAACTTTTGTTATATTAAAGGCGCATGCAGAGATCCATGTTAAGCGCATCGAAACGAAGATTCATAAAAGGGCTCTGTAACTCGGAGGAAAATAAAGATAGAAACAATTTTTCGCGGAATGGGCTATAACTCGATCAAAGGATAATAATTTTCAATATTCTAAAATTTGTCAGAAACTCTGTGTGTATAGGTCTGAATTTTCAAAAGTTAGAGAGCACTGGTAAACGAGAGAGCTATCAGAGAAAAAAATGTCCACCCTCCCATTTTTAACGCTCTCTAACTTTCGAATAACTTAATAACTTGTGACAGATTTTTTTTCGGATCTCTGAAAAAATGAATGAAAAAAGGGTCAGGTTTTAAGAGATTCGAGATTAGAAAAAGCTAAAAAAAATTAGCATGATTTTTCAATTTTTCGCTGATAAAACCTTACTTCAAAAATTTCATAGTACAAACTTCAGGATAAAAAAACCGGAAAAAAATCAAGAACAAAAAGAAAGAAAAGAGGAAAAAAATCAACCACAACAAAAAAATAAATAAACCAACCTCATTATCAAAATCTTCGGCAGCTTCAACTGACTGTCGGAAAAAGGGCAAATATTGAAATCACAAATAATATTGATTTCCACGATTTTTCTTCTGAAAGTCATATCTATTTTGAATATAAAATTTCTGTTACTGCTAAATCGACAAATGCTTAATTGGTTCCTGAGAAAAACTTCACTAATTAATCTATTAATTGTCGTGAGAAAGAAGCCTTTTTCTTCGTGTAAAAATCTTGGAAATTTCTAGAATTTACTTTTAGATATCTTTTGAAAAAAACGTTAAAATTATGTTTCTTTTTCAAATTTAGTTCAATAATGACACATTTCAACCAAAAAACCAATCAACAAACCTCGAACTTTTAAAAAATGGCCCAAAAAAGAAAGTCGTCTGGGTTTTTCGATAATAAGTGTCCATAAATCTGCTCGAAGAGCCGTTACAACATCTTTTCCAAATTAGTACGGTCTAATCTGAAAAAAATTGACTTTTAGAATAATGAATCAACTTGTGAAAAATCATAAACGAACGGGTTTATAAACGGGAATTCCGAACAAAGAAAGAGAAAAAAGAGGCAAATGGGAAAATAAAGTGAATAATCCTTCAGATTTACATATTTTTGCATTTTCGCAATAACAAAATAACAATCTTTCAATTAAAAATCATTTTACAAGGAAAATAACATAATAATGACTAGAAGTTTGAATTCAAACGAAAAGAAACCATGAAAAATCGAAAAATTTTAAGAACCTCAAAAATTGTCTCTGGAGCGAGTAAGACGTTGTAAAAGGCCCAGACAACCTTTTACAGCCCTTTTTTCGAGTTATAAATCCAGTAAACTTCCATTTTTCAAATACCCACTTTCTGAAAGTACAAGCGAAGAGGATTCTGATTAGAGAAAATGGAATAAATTTAAAAATAAACAACATTTTTGTCAAAAAGGAATAAGAAAAATGAAATCCTCAAATAAAAAAAAACTATTAAAGTTCCATAAAATGTTAAGAACCTAATGAACTTGTCTCTGGAGCAGGAAAAATACTCAAATTTTCCATATTTTTCACTAAATCTCAAACAAACGAATTTTAAATGAATCAAGTCTCAATCACAGTTCCAAAATTCATAAACTGAAACATTCTCAAAGTAAATGTCAGAAATGTTTGAAAAATCGACAGAAATCTTCGAAAAATATATAATTCGCCTTTCATTCACTACTTTCCTTCAAAAAACCAAAAAAAAGGTCAAAAAACCGTCTCTTCTGGAATAGGGCAACGCGAAAGGACTGTTATAAAAGCGTTAGATAAGCTATTCAAAGCTTCCTTAAAGATTATTTACCTTTTAAAATAATTTTATAACATTATCAGACCAATATGTGTGTTCTAAAATATTGCAACTTTCGCTCAAAATGCAAAAAAGTGTCTATAACAACTGGAGAAGCGAAAAAGTGGGTTTTTTTCAAAACCCATATCGAATATTTATTCTATATTTGTATGTAAACTTGGAGAAAAAAACCGATCTTAATAAAAACAAAAAAAGGCTCAGGTAAGGGAAAACGAGTTTCTTTTTTGATCTATAAAAGTTGACATTTCCATTTTTCGACAAAAAAGCTACTAATCGCATTTTTAAGCTTGAAAGATTTTTATTATCTTATTAGGTCCATTTTGGTACTAAAAATGTTAAAATTTTCTCTTGAAAAATGAAAAATGTATGTAAAGTGATCCTAAAAAACATACAGTAGGAAAAACTGGGCTCTATTCTCAAATTTTCAACAAAAACCCTTCAAAAAGTGTCAATAACCTAATAAAACAGTCGCTTATGGAGCAAGGCAACACGAGATGAACGTTATAAAAGGCCTAAAAAAGGCGTTTTAAAGCTATAATTCAATTTTTTAGGCTTGAAAGCTTTTTAAAAATCTTATCAGGTTCATTTTTGGGATAATATATGTCAAAACTTGTATTTTAAAAGCTAAAAAGTGTCAAAAACCACTAGAGAAGCGAAAAATTCGTTTTTCAACCGTTTTCTTCCAATTTTTGGACCGGAAATATATGGAAAACTTGTTAAGGCAATGGAACATGGGCTGAAGCAAGAGTTTAAAGGCTTGGAATTATTTTATTAGGTCCATTTTTTTGACGATAAATGTTACAAATTTCATTTTGAATATAAAAAAATGATAGTGTAGAGATCTTAGAAAGAGTCAAAAAACAGTAAAAACTGGGCTCTCTTCATTAAAAAAGTCGAAATTCTCAAATTTTCAACAAAAACCCTTCGAAAAAGTGTCAATAACCTAATAAAACTATCGCTTCTGGAGCAAGGCAACACGAAATGAACGTTATAAAAGGCCGAGACAAGCTATTCGATGCTACTTTTCGCATTTCTAGGCTTGAAATTATTTTATTAGGTCCATTTTTTGACGATAAATGTTACAAATTTCATTTTAAATACAAAAATGGAAGTGAAGAGATCATCGTAAGAGTCAGAAAACAGAAAAAACTGGGCTCTCTTCATCAAAAAAGTCAAAATTCTCAAATTTTCAACAAAAACCCTTCAAAAAGTGTCAATAACCTAATAAAACAGTCGCTTCTGGAGCAAGGCAACACGAGATGAACGTTATAAAAGGCCGAGACAAGCGATTGACAGCTTCCACACGCGTCCCTCCGTTCTTCCGGCTGCCCACCCCTCGAACGCATACTAAAGGGGGAGAGAAACGCGAAAAAAAAAAATCTCTGCGTGAGGTCGCCTCAACCGGAATCAGAGGGTCACCCTCCCTGTCCGTTCTTTCTAGAAATCGATCAAAGAGAGCGGAGAGGACGAGCTTGCATCCAGTGGAATCTCAGGGGCTCCCCCTAACATGCAACAATCAGGGCTTGGACATTGTTGAGTCCGACTCAAACTTGCAGAGAGGCGAGTTTCAGTGGATCCTATAGCTTTGAGCTTGAGGGGGGCTGAAGCTCGAAAAGAAAGGTCAAATAACACTTTCGAGATCATACTTCGAAGGAGAGATAGCTAAGTGATCCCTTGAGAGTTAGAAATATTGACTCAATTTTTAACTTTGATTTTGAAGGTACCTGAAGAAATCTCAAGCTGAAGCTTGATAATAAAGGCCGAAGAACATTTTCGAGATCATATTAAGAACTCAAGACAACCAAATGATCCCTTTAGGGCTATAAAAATCGACTCAACTCCCCTCAAACTTTCCGAGAAAGATAGACGGTCTTGAAGGAGAGGCACCTAAGTGACCCCTTAAGGGTTGGAAAAATCGACTCAACTTGACTCAATTTTTGACTCTGATTATGAAAGTACTTGAAGAGATGGATAGTTGAAGCTCGAAAAGGAAGGTCAAACAACTCTTTTGAGGTCATATTCAGAACTCAAGACAACCAAGTGGTCCCTTAAGGGGTAGAAAAATCGACTCAACTCCACTAAAGCTTCGTAAGAAGATAGACGGTCATACCTTGAAAGAGAGACCATTAAGTGATTGCTTAAGGGGTCTAGAACATACAAAAAGGTTGGACATTATTGGGCCCGACTCAAATTTGCAGAGAGACGAGTTTTAGGGGATTCTATAGCTTTGAATTTAAGGGTACTTGAAGAAATCTCAAGTTAACTATCAAAAAGGAAGGCCAAAGAACACTTTGAAGGTCATACTTTGAAGGAGAGACACCCGAGGGATCCTTTAAGAGGTGAAACATCGGAAGTTATCAAGTCCGACACCCGGGGAAAAGAGTTCTAGTGGCCCCTCTAGTATACTCAAAGAGATCCTGACAAGAATCGACCGAGAATCAGAAAGAAAGGCCAAAGAACACTTTTGAGACCATACTTTGAAGGAGAGACATCTAAGTGATCCCTTAAGAGGTGGGAGGTTGGAAATTGTCAAGTCCGACACAAGCTTCCAGAGAAAGAGAGGCTTCGGTGGTCTTTATGGGGTTGAATCTAAGCTTGCCCTAAAGTCTTCTTCTTCTTCTTCCTACGCCTTTGTACCGCTTGAGCGGCGCCGGCGCCCCAAGTCGATTAGCCGAGGTCCTATCCTGATATCAGTGGACTGACTCGAGTGACATATCCGTCCTTGTGTGTGACGGCTGAGGATTATGAAGCCGTGGTTTCCCACTACCAACATTTCTTAAACCCCTTGGTTGGGTCGGGGTGGGGATCGAACTTGTGACCCTGTGGACCGTAGACAGGCACACAACCTGTTGCGCTACGGCGCGCCCCAAGCTTGCCCTAAAGTAGCCACTTAAAAATCAAATCCCATGAAATTTTCAATCAAGTGGTCACTTGAAAATGTTCAAAATTCCCTTTTAAAAACTTTCGACCGATCTTCATAGGGTTGGGTTTCCTTGAAGTGATCACTTGAAAAAACGCCACTCTTCTTTGAAAAAGACCCTAAGAAGAAGAACAAAGGACCACTTTAGGGACCAGAGGGGCTGAGTTATCACTAAAGAGATCAGAAATCTTGCATGAGCAGAGCTGTTCCGACAAGTGTGAACGCTCTCGGAAAAGGTGTCTCAAGTGGCCACTTAAACAACATGTGTAAAGACCTTACAAGTGGTTCCCTAAGAGGTCATGCGCGAGAATGAATAGAGTGTTGTTCGACTCAAACTCCAAGTGGAAATTGAAGTGGGCTCTTTAGGGTTTAGAATGAGATCTGAACCCTAGAGTGGCTGCTAACTGGATGATAACTTCTATTTGAGAAATAAGTGGTCCCTTAAGGGGTCCTGATTTTTAGAATGAGATCTGAAACTGTTTCTAAGGACCTTAGAGTGGCTGCTAACTTCTATTTGACAGATAAGTGGTCACTTAAGGAATCTTGATTCAAAAAAGCCCAAGTGGCCACTTGAGAGATGATGGAGAAGGGTCGAGGTCAAATTCAAAAGACACCTGGCTCCTCCCTTAAGAGGTCACTTCAGAGAAACACTAGGAACCTAATTAAAGGTGTAATATATCAAATAAAACCTTAAAAGTGCAGTAAATTTGACATTTTTCGAAAACAAAAAATTGCACTTTTGTGAAATGGGGCAAGTATAACCTTGTGGCTCAAAACGCCGCAAACCGGTCCGAAACAAACAGGGAAAATGAGAATTGGGTCCGTTTGACCAATCTAATTCGAAAACAACGATTCAAAAATTTTGTGATGGAAAAAAGCAAAAAATTCATAGCGTTTGAAAAAAAAACCCAAAAAATAATAATTCTAGGTCTTTATGACTGAATGAAACAGCTACATCGGGCTCTTATAAGCTTGAAAAAAATACAATTTTCAAAAATTCAATTCTAAACTTTAAAGGAGCATGGGGAAGTTTCAAAAAAGAATCTTGGCGCGAAACCTTTTTTTCAAGTTTTTCAAAAGCGCCAACCTTGCTAGCTGTCTTGATTAACACACTGAAAAAAAGCCATTCGCCACGAAAACTTCAAAACAAATTTGTCCATGCTCCTTTAAAAAAAGGGCAGACGGCTTGTGTGAATAAACTATCAAGAAAAAAACGAGGTCAAAGTGAGAAATAATGAATTTTATAAGAATAAATCAGCTAAAAATCAAAAAAAGTTGAACTTTAGGGGGCTTCTGATCTTATAAAGGTCTTTGAAAGAACATAAAAACGAGTTTTGAAAAATTATCAATAAAAGGGAAAAAAATCTTTCCTATCTTAAAGAAAATTCGGAATAAGTTTTAATCAAAATGAAAAAACAAGAAGAAAAACGAAGGAAGAAGCTTTGAACGTATCAAAAAAAGTTGAAAAAGATAGACCAGATCCAAAACTTAATATTTTGAAGGCTTCTGAAGTTGTCCCAAAAGAAAAGAGAGATAAATCCAAATAAAGACGAGCAAGAAATTAAAGAAAAAGCGTTGGATATACCAAAAAAGTAGGAAAATATCAATAATACTAATCAAAAATCAACCAGAACCGAAATTGAACATTTTAGGGGGCTTCTGACAATACAGATGACTTCAAAGAAAGTCAGAATAACTTGAAAAAATGAAAAAGCAAGAAGGAAAATGAAGGAAGAAGCTTGAAAAGTATAAAAAACGTAGAAAAAACCTCCAAATTGAGTTATTTAGATAAAAACGTTGAAAAATATCAATTTTAATACTCAAAAACCAACTTAAAACGACAATTTAATAATTCAGGGGGCTTCTGACAGTACATATGACTCCAAAGAAAGTCAGAATAACTTGAAAAAATGAAAAAGCAAGAAGGAAAAAGAAGGAAAAAGCTTGGAATCTCCAAAAAAAATACCTAGAACTTCTCAAAAACTCGACCAGAACCAAAAGTACATTGTCTATTGTCTTAGCGGCGTCTGACCTTTTGGAAAAACTCCATTAACGGTCGAGTCAACACGACCCGAAAGCCCAAAACGCAACGAATGTTTGCCCCGCCGTGAGTAACGTGATCCCGTCTTCTTTCGGAGAGCCGCGGACCTCCCACCAGGAACATCTTTTATATACTATGTCATTCTTATTCATTCAAAGGGACAAAAAAGGGTTTTTAGAAAAAATCACAACTTTCTTGTATGGAGTTCAATCTTCCTGACTAGAGAACGTTTTTTTATTCCCTCCCTCCTCCCCCCTTCGGAGAACGTTTTTACCACCCTCAGAGAACATTTTTACCACCCCCCCTTCCTCAGAGAACTTTTTTTCACCCCCTTCAGAGAACGTTTTTTTATTCCCTCCCTCCCTCCACCCCCTTCGGAGAACGTTTTTTTACCACCCTCAGAGAACTTTTTCACCCCCTTCAGAGAACGTTTTTATTCCCTCCCTCCCTCCCCCTTCGGAGAACGTTTTTTTACCCCCCGTCAAACTTTTGATGAAACTTTGGCAAAGTGTATTTTTTTATTCACAATTTCCTTGTGGAGTTCAAGCTTCCTGACTAGGGGAACTTTTTTTCACCCCCTCTCTCAGAGAACTTTTTTTCACCCCCCTTCAGAGAAATTTTGGAAGTTTTATCAAAATTTAGCTGAAATTCAATTTTCATAGTAAAAAAACGCTTATAGATTCTTCAAAAAAACTGTTCAAAAAAACAATTTTTTTCAAAAAAATCTTTTTACAAATCATTTCTACATGCAATTCTTCCTCAAAATTCCCAAAAAAAGGTATATTTTTTTACTTCAAAAAAGCGATTAAAACAAATTTCCAGGTTTATTTTGAATGAGGCGGGAGAAAAAAAGGGATGAAACACATGGAAAATGTTCGAAAAGGAGAAAAAAACGGTTGTTTTTCGGTCGGAGGACAGGTGTATGTACATGGGCAGGCTATTTTTGAAGTTTGCCGACTTGGACACTTGAGATTTCTTTTTTGAGAGCGGCCTCGATCCGAAATTTCGAAGAAAAATGTTATAAATCAAGAGAAAAATTGTGAAAAATCCGTTTTATCAGCTCTGATTTCAAAGAAAAAAATTGTTTGCCTTTTTTTCAACAATATTTTTATTTTTTTAAAAAAACCGTTTTTTTGAAGTTTTTTTCGAATTTGTGTCAATTTCAAGTTTAATAATCCTTTCTAAATGTTCAAAACTGTTTCCAAACTTTTCTAAAAAAAGCCATTTTCCCTTCTGAAACACGAAATCAACCGAAAGAACCTCCCAAAAAAAGCAGTAAAATCCATTTTTAACGAAAAATTTTTAAATTTTTCAACATTTTTTTAATTTTAAAAAAATTAGTTTCCAACAAAATCTAGCTTACAAAAATGATAATAAACCACTAC